CTGAAGAAGGCTCCACAGCCGAAACGTTGTGTTCTCTTTCTTCTTTTTTTCAGCATGGAATAAACCTATTACTTGTTGCTTTGCAGCCTACGCATGCTGACGCAGCTACCCACCTGAACTAGCAATGTATTTATCCTATTAATATTTATTTATATTCCAGTATAAATTCTTTCTTTACCTGCTCTTTAAACAGCTCCCGGAGGATGCTCATGCAGAACTCTGACACCTGCTTGTCTTCCATATCCCTGATAATTGAAACTGCATCACCAGTGATGACAGACATCAGAACACTGTGTTTCCCCTGTGAATTTGAAAAACACAAAGACCATGTGGCCAAAACATACTGCACTCTCAGATAATTCAGATGTCCTGTCTAGGAGTGCTATAGTCAAGGGGAGAGGAAGAACAACTAAGTTTTGTCTACTTTACTCAGAAAAAACTGATTTGAAATTACAAAACACAAATAATGAAAAACAGAACAGCACATTCCATTTACAACCCACTTATTAATGCAAACTCTGTCTGTTTCCTAAACTGTTTTGGTTCGCAGCACACTTTTAACATGCCAAAAGTTTCACTTTGCACACCAAATGATTTTTAAAAAATCAGTAATAATATTGCAAGAAATAATATTTTGAACTGAAACAGAATAGAAATATAATAAAAAATATCTGACTTTTTTTGACAAGCATTTCAGTAAAATCAGAGTTTCAATTAACAGAATTTTAATATCCGGCTCAACAATGGAAAGAGGTACACAATGGTCCATCACTTTTTCAGAACAATCTCTTCTGATTCTGTGACACACCTCACCCCTTTCCACAGCATACTTGTTGGGAGCACTGTTTTTATGAAAACTTAGTGGGATTTTCAAAGAAAAAAGCTTACATTGTTTTTTATAAATCCTTTAATAATAACAATAATAATAATAATAATTATTATTATTATTACTTACATTTACATAGTGCTTTTCTGGACACTCCACTCAAAGCACTTTACAGGTAATGGAGACCCCCCTCTACCACCACCACTGTTTAAGAACAACTCAGTGATGCTATTCTTGATCACTGAGAACCATCAGAGTGTGCTTTCACATTATGCTTAATTTATAAGTAGCAATAGATATAGTCTGCACTACGCCATTAAGGATTACAGTATGTCAAGACCTCGTGGCATTTGTATATCAGCTAAAGTGCATCAGCAGTTAAAAGATTATGGATGACAGCTCTATTAGTATTTTACTAATAGCAGTAAAATTGGACATTGGTAGGATCTGAAACTAAACATGGTTTGCAATGCAATTACATCTCCATTATCTAACAATACAAGTGTCCGTGGACTAACCTGGGGGTCCATATCATAGAACACACCAAACAGCCCACGCTTGTCCGAGCTGGGCGGAAGGTGACCGAAGAAGTCTGCGCCTTGGATTTTACTGTCCCAGAATCTGTAAGGGAACTGCAAGGCAATCTGCAAAATGGAGGAGAAAATGAACTTAAGAACAGGTATGCTTTGAAATAAAAAGGTTTCTGAATCATTCAGAAGCAAAGCACAACACCAAACATGCATGGCAAAATGCGTAGTGGTATGTCAAGAAAGAACAGGAAAAAGTAAAAAGCAAACAAAAATGCAACATCAACTGTAGACTGATGCAATTAAATTGACAGTGGCCTGGGCGCACAGCCAGAAAAAAAAATCAATCTTGGACAAAGAAAATTCTAAACAGGATTCTAACAGAAAGGTGGAGTCAAACCAAAAGATAGTCCTCGTTAAAGATGGTAAGACAAAATGGGGTAATTGTTAAAATGACAAGGATGCAGAGACATGAAGAAAGGAATAATTTACAAAAGAATTTGTGTATGCGACAACAATTTCTTGATTGGCTATGGAATGAAAAGGGGTGTCAGACAAAGAAGCATTCTAAAGAAAAGATTCTGTCCTGCATCTTACCTTCTCAATGACCCCTGCTCCTAAACTGTGAATGGCCTTCAGCTTCCTCTCTGGCAGAGGCGGGTTAAACTGCAGAACATTCTTCTGAAGCAAAGCCAGTGGAACAGAAACCAACACCTAGACCAAAGGAGGAAATTTAACTATAAATGAAGAGTCTAGCAGCTGGACAGTAAACAGTGGTCTGATACAAACTACTTGCAGTTTTGGTCTGTAGTCTTCTTTTTACTCTAAAATAGGCAGACCAAGCTCAGTTCTTAAAAGATCCCAGGGTCTTCTGGCTTTTTTTCTTTAATATCCCACAGTATGGTCTAAACATTTGATTTCCTAGAAATATGGTGCAATTCTTGAAACATGTTAGGCTGCTGTATCTCACATCAGGTGTGTCTGTTGAATCATCAATTAAAAGACTTTGTAAGCATTCAAATTTGTCTGCTTGGGTCAATAATTAGATGAGGTAGGTTAACGGAGTTCTAGCTGGTACTAAGCTAGCCTGAGGTGAGACTGTCTGTGAAAATCTGCAGCCAGGCTCCAGTTGGGGTGCAGCTGGGGATCCACAGGAACTATACCGATTCCTAGTGGCCAGGCTTCAGGACAGAGGGCAGCACTGGATAGCAGTCTGCCAGAATAGCCTGGGGAACTGAACACAGAGAAGGTGTGCAGAGAAAGCAGGTGCAGGACTGGGGAAGCCTCCAGGGTCTGGAGCTGTGCTTTCTTCTACAGCACAGTCAGGGCTTAGGAGTCTGACCCCTGGGTCAGACAGGATACTCTTAACCAGGGCGGTCATCCACAATGCGCACCTAATGCCAGGCTGACCAGGGCACATGCTCTTAGGTAGGTCTTCTCCTGAGACCAGGCCAGTGCACACCGTCATGGCAGACTAGGGAGACAATCCAGAGACCAGGAAGGAGTTATCTGCTGAAGTCCGGTCCGAAGTGGGGTCCTGACCTTTGGTCCACATTCAGCAGCCTGGAAGAGCTCTGGATAGCACAGCCACGAGCAGAGCTCCCAGGCAGAGCCCAAGAGAACTGGAAACCAGGAACAGGAAGCATTGCATTGAGAAGCTGGAAAGTGACTGCGTAGCTGAAGTGGAGAAAACGCCAATGCCAGATTGCCATGGAGAGACTGAATAGGGTTTATATACTCCAGAGCACCTGGTAATGTGTGGCTTCTCACTGCATATCAGCATCTCTGCATATCCTGTCTCTTCAGTGATCCAGGCAGAGCAGAGGTGTGACCACCAGCCACTGCAGCTGTGACACGCTCTTCTCCACAGACAGAGAAACTGTGAGCCTCTGGAAACTGAAGCTGCTGCTTTAAATGTGTATACAAAAACAGCGACTCTTGAGTTTTCAGTGAAGGAACTTGTGGAAGACACCGACTGAACCTTTTTGTCTAGACTTCCCAACTGACATCACCAATTCCCCAAGCAACAGTACACAACTAACAACCTGGGACTTGTAGTATTAACAATTGGTAATTGCACATTTGGGTGGAAAGTAAGCTATGTGTCACAGTCTCCTGGGTTCTGGTTTATTTTATCAGAATAAAGATAAATGCTTTTCATTAAACATTTAAAATCCCCGTATGGGATAAAGTAAAAACTATGAAAACTATAAGCTGTAAGAACAAAGATAACTTTCACCTTTTGTGCTATCCACTGGGTCCCATCAGATGAAGTGACCTTAACTTCGTCCCCTGAATAGTCGACAGCTTGAACCTGCACAGAATTAAAACAATCAGTAAGGGATTCAGTGTTCAAACTCAAGTGTATCGCTCACATACAAATTTCCACTTGTGTGCTGTGAATTGCCTTTGATCTCAAGCATGTAATTAAAAACATGTGCTTCAAGAAGAAAAACAGGACTCCACCATCACATGACAACCAAATTATTAAATTTCATGTCATTTGTAGTATTACAAAACTTTAGTTATACAGTAATACACAAATACAAAGCTCATCTTAGACCCCACACACCCCAGCTACAGACTGCATGACCCTTTACCATCTGAAAAATTGTACCGGAGCATTCGGGCCCGGACTACCAGACTCAAGAGACAGTTTTTACCCCTGCACTATTAAACTATTAAACTATTAAACTATTAAACTATTAAACTATTAAACTATTAAACTATTAAACCAGCCTCTCTCACCTATGATCTGAACCTCACAGTGCCTTCTTTCTTACCAAAAACTCAAACACACATTGAAATCTACCTCTACCTCACATGTCAAAAAGTTCACACCCCATAATTTTCTATCCTTTATTTCATTCTGTTGATGTATGTTTTTGCAATTCTAATGTTGTTTTGCACATTACCTGTTACCTTTTGTTGTTTTGCACATTGCCTGTTGTCTCTGTCTTTCATTATACAATTGTATTGTTGTTTTTTATACTACTTATCGCCTGAGAGCTAGCTAAATAGCATTGCGTTATACCATATACCTGTATATGCGTATAATGACAATAAACTTGAACTTGTCTGTTGTGCTAATGTAAAAAGGATGCGAGATGGAAAACAATTGGGAATTTTATCCTTGTGGTCCTAAAAAGCGAACACAAGCACAGGTAGAGAGAAACAGCATACCGGGGTTTGTAGTCGGATGTCAAGTCCATCACTCAGCTTGTTAATCACAGAGGAATATCCCCGAGTGAGCAGTGTGTGATCTCCGGTAAACTGTGCGAAAAACTCATTATGGTCCCAAGAGCGTGCAGACACCTGCAACAGCAGAACAGCCAACCTCATAGTCTTTTGTGTAGTGAAAAATGTCCACCTCAACTTCAAACCTGCAGTACCTCAGAGCTTTAAAACATGTTAATGAAAAATAGTTGTCAACCTCCTTTTAAAATTCTGGAGTAGATATTTCCATACAGTATTTCTACATCAGGGTAGGGTGAGCCATGTCAGGTGCCGATAAGTCAGCACTTTGCCCAGCACCATCAGTTATGACTTTCAAGGTACCCAAGACATGCCATGACAATGGTAAGAGACATGCTGCTAACTCCCCTTTCAGGTACCATGGCAAATGGTGGGGTTCAATAAGCAAACTGTTCTGCAGGTAGGTGTGTGTAAGCAGCATATGTACAGCAATCCCTTGCTTAGCCCTGTGGATGTGTTCCAGATAAGGAAGGGGCAACGCAGGCGAATAGCGTTCCAAGGATTGCAGCGTTTCCTGCATACGAGTAACTTCCAAGGGCTTCATTGGGATACTGTAATGGCAGTACTGATATTTTTACCACAGCATATAATTCTTCTTATTTTATACAGAAAACAATATATTTTTAAATTCTAATTACAGAAGAAAAACATAGTTTGGCTACTTGGATGCAGAGCTTGCATGGATTAATCAGTGTATTCCCTCTTTCCAGTTTGAGAGAGATAGAAAGAGCTTCATCTGCTAGGAGGGGCCAAGCTGTGGCTCATTCTGGAAGAGGCTCTTTGTTATTTTTCATTGTATTTTGCCTTCACTATAATGAATATCAGCAGCATGCACAGCTACAGCTACTGTCACAGACACACAAACAGACATTCTGCTTTTTTATAGGTGTTTCTGGAGTTAATAAAATAATGACCAGGTAACTGAAGCACTGTTGCACTGTCTCCTTGTCTCAGTTACAGAGGTTATTAAGGAATAAAAGTTGGAATTGATTGCAAGGGCAATCTGAGTAATATAACAATTGCCAATTCCAAATTTTTCAAAGAACAATTTTTGACCATGAAAAATACACAAGGAATAGACATAACAGGTGTGTGCCAGCAGTTCCAGCGCTATTTACTAATTGAAGGGACTTCCTGACCTGTTGTAAGTTACTGCCACAAGCAAACTCCAGGTTGCTGAGGTGAAACTGCAACACTTTCTCCTCCAGTTCACTAAACTGAATTTCAGACTCATGAATAAAGGCTTTGTAGACTTCCTGGATCTTTTCTGTTGAAAATAAAAAGCAAACACACAACTTCATGGTTATTAAATTAAAAAAAAGATTTAGATCAAAATAGCAAGCATGATTCACCACATAAAAAGACTAGACTTATTTTTTGTTGCAGCTCTCCCAGGAAAAAAGAAGATAATGTGGAATAAAAGTAGAAGTGGTGAAATTTTCTTTTCTTTATTATTCTGGAATAGGACTCACAATGTCCACATTGAGAAACCCTCAATTTCCCAATATGTATGCTGCACCCCTTAGGCACAGATTTTATACTGGATGCATGCACCAATAACAGAGATTGCATGATGTTTTTATAATCATGTTGAAATGAAATACTTAAAAAAAGTAAAACAATCTACTGGGTTTGTTAAGATGAGCCTAAATCTGAGGATAAAGGTGCAGTTTCATATAGCAGATAAAGTTTTTTATTCTACCATTCACAAATTTTTGTTAGACTGGAAATATTGAAAATTCCTCTGAGCAAAGCTCTAACAGACTGTTCATGCACCACTGGAATTTTACTGGTAGCATACTAAATCACTGCAAATTGGAGAAGAGCACAGGCTCAAGGGAGAGTACCCTCTACCTCCGAGCGGGGCGTCCTGGAGTTGTGTCTTGTCCTTCCTCCACTCAGACACCACGTCCAGGATGGCGTTGAAGTGAAAGTCCATGCGCTTATCGATGGAAGGGTCCGTTCCCCGGCCCCCCTCCTGAATCAGGTCGCACCTTTCTCCTAGCTTGTGCATCTTAATACCCAGCTGTCCATCAGTGGAAACAGGTCAGTGGAATCAGTTCAATTCTTTCAATTTGGATTTCAAACAGGATTTTAAAAAATGGCTGTTTTGTCAATTGACTCTACTTAACAAAATTGGTTATTAAAGGATTCAATATGCAATGGTACAATCTTGGGGTTGTTAATGGAAAGACAGGATTCTGAAAATATGCAATGCACACGACTCAGTAAAAGATAATACTTTTACCATGTTGTTGCATTAAAAAACAGCGAGGCTGCTATGTTTTGTAATAATGCTCTTGTGTTATTAGTTGCTTGGTACAGACGACCCTTGAGGAGTGAGGACTAGGCACACCCTCATTCCTCAAGATGATCATATTCTGATCATCTTCTGTAAAAAAACACATTGGCCTGAAAGTCCATGAGACACCTATTTAAAAACTTAAGATGTTGAAAGCTACTGTATTTCATTGGAAAGTACTCATGTCTAAGTGATATAAGCATATATAATCCATTTTTTATATAAAACCCACTTGCTCACACATTAGTGCAATTGGGTTGTTAATGCAGCCGTTCACAATCTGGGCTCCTCTTCCCACCACGAGGCCCAGTGACTTGTCATCCCAGACACGCCCTCCAATCCGGTCTCTCGCCTCCAGGACAACCACCTGTATACAGGTGCAAAATCATCACAGGGCTGGAAGACTTCAAACATTCCTAAGTAAACTCAGTATTCCCACAGTTAAGCATATTCTTCTCTTGGGTCAAGACAACAACAGGACACACAACCAAGAAATATCATTTGAGGCAATGGTGGAGGATAAGAACTATTGATTTATCAGGGATCACTAGAACCAAGCACAAACAATTCCTCTACTGAGATGCCACTAGAATAGAGTTAACAATGGATTGGCTCACATAGCCTTATCAAGAATCCATACCAAATGTTGGGCAGGAGTTCCTGTGGAGAACTTACTTGCATGCCAAAGTTTTGAAGCTGGCAGGCAGCAGCCAATCCTGATGCTCCTGCTCCAATGACAATAACTTTTTTCTGCAAAAACAAACAGGAAAAAATTATTTAAACGTATGTTTTGTAAAGTACTTTTTACAACATCTACAAAGGACTCTTTGACTAACTTATGAACATTTCTGTTGTGAGAAAAACTAACTTTGGGGTTTTACAGCCTATAGGCTGTTCTTTAAATTATCACCAGATGCCAGATATTTCAAGATTGCTATATAATTTGCAATAAATGTGAACAAACAATTGTGTGATATAATATTAAAATGTATTATCCTCATCATCTATTCAATCTTCAGCAAACTGTAGCTCATACAACCTAGAATGGGTTAAACTGCCAAACAACAAGAGGTTTTGTAGCACTTAATAAAAATGCTTTTGAGGAAAGAAGTTGTTTTTTCCTTTACAAATGTAAGCAGCAAATCACAGTAGTGAAGTAATATAACATGACACAAATCCAGCACAGTATCTTGTTTTGTCGATAACAGATGTCTAGAGGGTCTGCATAGAAGTTTCCACAGTGCTCACATACTTTGCAGTACTGTTCCGGAAGAAGGGGTTCTTTCACAGACAGAATACCCATGTTGATGAGGCCCTTCCTGGTCATGAAGTAGAGGATTCTCTCCATTTCCTGAACGCAGCGTACTCGCACCAGCCCCCGCACAATGATGTGAGGAGCACACTTCTGAGGTGTGAGGACCTCCTGGACCACAGAAAACAACAAACTGTAAGAAAGGTCCTGACATGACAGAAGTCAACAAGTACCAATGTTCTGACAGAAACCATACCTTACAGTCCCTGTACCAGAAGGCCAGAATAAGGTTCCGTAACGCCAGGTACATGGTAGGGTCGCGCGAGTACTCAGGAAATTCGTACAGCTCATCCAGCTCCATCATGTCTGGCCTCACACACAGGGCCTTCCCACACTCATTAGGCTGGTAAAAAGGCTGGAAGTTGGGGCATAAGCCTGGAACTAAACACAGCACCTCATGACTGGATGCAGAAGAATATAGACAATCACTCTAGACTTCATGTGTTTTTATTTTATTGTCCAACAAAAAAAGCTTATTGTAATTTTTATGAAGTCTTTTTCCCACTTTCACAATACTCTTTCATTTATAAAGAAGTAATTACTCATTTTCCGTAAAAAAAGCAATTTGCTAGAAACCTTAACTAACACCTCCTAGGATAAATTACTGTTTACTAAAAGACATATTACTGTGAAAAAGTAATTTAGGAAAATGGTACACAACCCATTTAGTGAAAAAAGTTGAATGGTGTTAATACTTCAGTACAAAAGGACTCAATCAATAAGGACTTCCTAATCTTCCAAGAAAACAAGTAGAAAAGAAAAAAATATTTTTTTATGCAAGACTGCATGAAATAGAAAATTATGAGTTCTGTCTGCAATTTCAGCACTGTCCACGTGACAAGTTGTATTAAATTATATAATTGTAAACAAAGTCATCAAGCAGTTAAGTTACTCCAACCATGTCATGGTCCTGTATGTTACTGCAAAACACAAGAGGGGCTGATTATGCTTTGTGTTCTAGTAGTGTATAAGAAGCAGTCTGACACAACAGTCATTTACAATTTAAAAACACTGCAAGGTATGTTTACTTGCAAAGCATATAAGAAAACATAAAACCAAAACCCTACCTCTGTTGGGCTCTCACTAAACCTCTTCCTTGAAACAACTGGTATAAAAAACAAATATCACTGTCTCTAATACAAACACATACTTTTCAAAAAGTCACTTCACTCTTGATATCCTTATTCGCACTTTTGCTTTTACTTTCATTCAGTCTCGCATGCCACCTTGTCCCACTGGAGCAAGCTCCAGTGGATCTACTTTTTGTCATCTTGTCTTTTTGGCAGATATGGGATACTAGAAGCCTGACCAATTATCATCGTCCAATAAGTCAGGTGACAGAAGATGGCAGGTCATTAAGCACACCTTCCCGAGGAATGTACTTTAGAAAACAACAGGCCTCTTCTACAACCCTACCATCCTCTCAATGTCACCATAAATAATCAGAACAGTACACTGTAAGGAATAAGGAAGGGAGGTTAAAAAGTCGGCTGTGTTGTGGGGCTGTGAGATGCGGTTCTTGGTGTAGTGGAGCAGACGTAATCACAGGCTCAGTTTATGTCACTTACTCTGTGGCTGGATAACCCTGCAGTGTTCGGCCTTCATGTCGTGGAGGGAGTGTGTGCAGGGGGAGCCGGAGGGGCTCATGCCCACACAGTCTGGATAGTAGGCCATTAGAAAAGGGTTTGCAGGGCTGTCCTTTAGCAGCGGGGGCAAGATAAGCATAGAGTGCCACCAGCTGTCAATCACTTCAGCTACCCTCTGAAAAGACAAGACCCTGGGGTCACATCCTAGGAGTCATACAAGTTCTGATATAAGGACCTATTCATCTATTTTCTAACCCACATTATTCAATACTGAGTCCTGGGGAAGTCAGAGCCTAACCAATATCATTCTGCAACTCACAACTGGCAACCCACTGAAGCTAAGCAGGTGTGAGCCTGGTCAGTACCTGGATATGAGACCTCCTGGGAAAAACTAAGGTTGCTGCTGGAAGAGGTGTTAGCGGGGCCAGCAGGGGGCGCTCACCCTGTGGTCCATGTGGGTCCTAATGCCCCAGTATAGTGATGGGGACACTATACTGTAAACAGGCGCCATCCTTCGGATGAGACGTAAAACCGAGGTCCTGACTCTCATTAAAAATCCCAGGATAATTCTCAAAAGAGTAGGGGTGTAACCCTGGTGTCCTGGCCAAATTTCCAATTGGCCCTTACCAATCATGGCCTCCTAATAATCCCCCTCTATGAATTGGCTTCATTACTCTGCTCTCCTCCCTACTGATAGCTGATGTGTGGTGAGCGTTCTGGCGCACTATGGCTGCCGTCGCATCATCCAGGTGGGTGCTGCACATTGGTGGTGGTGTAGGGGAGTCCCCATTACCTGTAAAGCGCTTTGAGTGGAGTGTCCAGAAAAGCGCTATATAAGTGTAAGCAATTATTAATATTATTATTAACCTAGCAACAATGGGACCAAGACAGGACATCAGACCATTGTAAGGGCACATTTGTACCATTGTAGACACAAACACACAGTCACACCAGGGCAAATTTTCACAGAAGCTAATTAACGCACTTAGTATGTTTTTAGGCTGTGGGAGGAAACAGGACGAAACCCACATGAACATGGGGAAAACATACTAACTCCACACACACAGCACCCCAGGGACTGATCCCATATACTGTAGGGGTTAAGACTGGGCTCACTTTTACCACTTTCAGTCCAGAAAGAATTGCGAGGCAGAAATTCTAACCACTGTTCTGCAGGAGATAATAATTACACTCAAATTTACATCACAACAATTCTGCAAATCAATACAGCAACTTGTGAAGCAAAGTTCTTTGGGTGAAAGACTGTAAACCACATAAAATGAATATTTTTGCAATAGCTATTTTTGGAGACTAGCAGCAGGTTAACACTTCAATTATTAACATTTATAAAAAATAATTGGTTTCCTTAAAGTTACTTAAGGTAACTTAATTTTCACTGTCTAAATTCTGTGGAGACATATCCTTGACTTGTTCTCCATGATGTCAGAGTAGTTACATAATATTACATATTATGTATTAAAAGACATGCAGTTGTGGTTAAAATCAGATATTGTTCCCTTTAAATAGTCTTTTTTGCAGATAACTCACCATGTCTTCAGGTTGGGTGCACTGGTCCGGACCTTCATTCTGAAATCAAAATAAAATTCTTAAGTTACATTTTAAAGTGGCAGCTTACACAATGTATTGAGTTTAGGGGGAAGTAAACATGGACATTCACCCTCCTACCACTTACCGACTACGAAAATAAAAAAAACATCTGAAGAACAACTGGAATCTTCCTGTTTAAACATGTAACGTATGTAACTTATCTTAGCAAGGTACTGTAGGAAAATTTACTGAACAAACTCTTAAGGACCATTTTGTGTAAAACAGCGTCAAAAATAAGAATATTGCAGTATAAGAGCAGGGTATTTAATTACAGACAATACAAAACAGAACTCAGTTTTCATTAGCAGGCTGAAGAACATTCTTCATTTTTCCTCAACTTGTGCAATTCTCATTATAGTTTTATACCTTGACATTATTAAACTTCATCCCACAGCGGTATGTCATGGCCAGCGTTGAGGTCAACTGAATCTCCTTTGTTAGTTGTCGCCATTTCCCACAGTCTGGCCTGGTACACTGCACCTGTGTCAGAAAAACCATGACATGGTCAGGTCATTCCCATCTAATGTTTTTAAAAAGCACAAGAACACATTTTATTAGTATTTTAACCATTGTTCAGCAGTACTCGGATCCAGAGGACTGGAACACTTAAAACACCCTTTGTGTGATCATGAACTTTTTGTGAACCCTTTTGACATACCTTCACTAACAACTTGATCACTGAGCCCTACAGTTGTGCATGTTAACCCACTGGTGAAAAAGAAAGCTGCCTGGTTCTCACCCAGTATGGAAGCTGCTGGTCAGCCATAAAGGCTTTAAGACTGGGCTCACTTTTACCATTGCCAGTCCAGATCCTCTTCCAGCTGGCATACTTCTCATATCCATCTTTATGACTGCAGCAAAAATCAGAAAGACAGAGGAAACCTTCAAATGTTTTGGTGGCTCACAGATTTCACTTTCAATCCACGTTACAAAGTGTTGGGGGTTTCAATAAAGAGACACCAAGACTTTTGTAACATCATAATATGTATTCACGATTTTCATGCTTGTTTATGAATTTATAAAAAATTGGCATTTTTACCTTCTGTAATAGTGATCAAAACACTCATTGCAGAAATGTTCTCCACAGGATAGGTGGTACCATCGAGATGTATAGCCATTTTTGGCACACCTAAACAATTACAAGCAAACATTAAAAACACTGCCACCTGGTGTGGGTTTTGTTACTATATCAATTTTTTTTCCTAGCTTCCTGCATTTCATATATCTATACATGAAGATTCAAGTACCAAAACATTTCAAATGAATAGGAAAATCTTTAAACTGAAATTTATTGAGAGTGAGCACAAATGTGACATGCTGAATTTCTCATATTCAATTTGAATTTTTATTTTCAAGTCTAAAATTTTACATTTTAAAATATCTATAAATAAAATTGTAATAAAATTTCTATTAATAAAATGTATAAGAAAAGTAAAGTTGGCAACTCACAAATTGTGTTGTTGTTTGCTTGAATACCTAAAAGATCATCCACTATTCAGAAATTACAATTATCTTGTTCTCCTTTTAAAGGGAGTCAAAAGTATATTTTTTTCTTTCAAAACAGTTTTGGGAATATTTGTGATAGACTCAACACCACGTGTTGGCAAATCTCCTCTAGTACTAAAGTGTATAAGACTCAGAACTTTTGTTTTCCTAAACAGAGAAACAAATCTTGCTGCAGTGGGTTACACTGAATTTTTGTTTAAGCTACTGGATAAACTGTAACACCATCACAATGTGTTTTTATTTTGTTTTTCCTTGTGCTTTACTGGAACTGAGAACAATTATCTTCCAAGCTATTCCAGACATCTTTAGCAATATCCTAATTATCCTTGATTTATTCTTATCAGATTTTTTGTTAAAAGGATCTCTGTCTGAAATGGGGGTTCATAGTTCTGGTTCTCAGAAACCCCACAACAGCTATGTCTTAGTATTCTCTTTAAACTCTTCTTTAAACTGACAATGTGATTTATTGAAACTCTTTAATTGTTCCAGTTCTTAAAAAAGGTTGGAAATTTCATTTAATTTTCCATAAAAAGGTTCCAATTGAGCAACATATTAATTCAATTAAGAATTTTATTAGTTACTTAGAAGACCAGCCCTGCTCTTTAAGACACCAATGCTCACTAAATGTACTGAATAAATTGACACACCAGAAGAAGGATATGTAGCCAAAATGTTGTTTCTTCTTTCTAATGTTCATAATGGAATTAACCTTTACTTGTTCCTTTACAATCAACAACAGCTGACGCAGATCATCATTGAATCTCTTTAATGTGTTAGCTATATCACAGATCTATTGCTTGCCTATTGTACATTCTAGATCATTCCTTTCTGAAGCACAGACCTTTCAGAGGCACTAGCAAAGCACACAGGGTATGTGGCTGTGCAGCCTGCCTTCTCACACTTCCTGTACTTCTTCTCAGAAAGGTCTTCATCTTCCTCTGCTTCTGTAGCCTTCCTTTTTGCCTGAAAGAAACAGCTTCCTGAGCAGCTGATCCCTAGGGGTTCTCAATGTTCAGCATTCTAGTTTTTACACTCCTGATTACTTCCTTATGCATCTTATATATACAGGTTATAAGCTTATTTTCTTGTTATTTTTCCAAAGTTTATCAGTGTTACAGCTTGCCAATACAGAAAATGTAAACTGTACATAAGCTAACTTAATGCCCTTATGCACTATCAAGTGATTAGGTTTTGAAAAATGGAAGCCTATTGGAAAAGGTAGTTGTAAAGAATGACATCAGCCAGGAACAATGACAGGTGATGAAGAAGGAAATAGATGGATGTGCAAAGAAGGTAAAAAAAGGTAAAAAAACTGCAGATGGTAAAGTGAACGCTATACAAGTAAGGCTGTCTGTTTCTGCAAGGATGGGGCTCAAGAAAAAGGGGAGAAGTGTGTGACATTCTGAATGAGGTCTTTGGGTCGGGGGAGGTTCTTCCCATTACTTCAAATTAGCCGCTAAATTGCTTAGTAAACACAAAACCTTATTGATGCACACAGAGAAGGTACAAGCCAAGGTACTGATGGCTGTTTGAACTATCAAAGATCAGTAACACTTTATGAAATAGGGCCTGTCTCCGTTGTTATTATGTCACAACAAGCCCAGTGACTCAAAGCAAGATATATCAGTGTGTCATGCAGAGGCTGGGCTCTGGTGTTTACCTGTCTCCCGGAAGAGCGGAGTGGCTGGTTCTCGCCTGCTGGCTCCACCACAGGGGCTTTCTTCTTTGCCCGGGCCCGAGCACCTGCCACTGACATGGCACTCACACAATCTGATGTGCACAACAGTCACTATCAGTGTCCTCACTAGGAACGCTAATCAAACACCAGTGACCTAAGTAGTGTAATGATTAGGCACAACTCCAGTTCACATATCAATACAGACAAACATGATATCAGGTAATTCATGACATAAAACCTGGCTATGCTTGTAACATCCATCTATTCTCAGAAAACATTTTATTTCTGCTAATGTCTGTGAGACCCAAGAGCTTTTCCTGGAAGCACAAAGCAGCTTGATGGATGGCAGCATCCTACTCTGGGAGTCAATATTCATCACAGATGTGCACAGGGACAATTAAGAGACTCCAATAAACTTAACCAGTGCATCTTTGAGTAGAAAACCCAAGTGAACATGGAAAACGTGCAAATTCCACACAGATTCCAGTCTTTAACTGAACACAAGACCCAAGAGCTATGAGGCACCAAGACTATCTGCCATGCCACTAAGAACAACATGGAGACAAAGTACTATCTTATATAGCAAGCAATTCTTACGTTTTCCATAATAAAAAAGCAGAAATCGGCTAATTCGGCTGGTTAATGTTCTACCAAAGAATCCTATAAACAAAGGTAAATTTTATAACACCAACGTCAGTTGTATAAAATAAGCAGTGCTTCAGAGCAAATCGACCCTGAATTAACTTTCCCTGGATCTGTTGACATAGGATTCCGGTGAAAATATGCAGGTCCCTCATAAATAAAAAAAATCCCAATCTAGCCATCCTCTTAATACCAAATGTGTAAAACACATGGATTTAAACTGAATCAACAGTGCTGCACCGGTGCTTCAAACACGTCTTCACCTCACAGTCAAAGTGGATAACATGGCTCTTTATTTACCTGCGTCTGAATGCATGAACGTGACCTCTTTCTCTCAATAACGTCGCAGTCAACGGGATTTTAAAACAGAATATTGCGAAATAAGCGATTAAGGTTATTTAACGGACAATTTCTTTCCCTTTTTATTCCTTTTCCAGCTGTGGTTTAAGGATTTCCGATATATCCAATGACAGAGTTACCTTTGACCTTAACGCTCACTTCCGCTGTAATTTCAAAAGATGTTACTGCAATAACAAGAGATAACAAAAGAATATGATGGTTCATAATGAAAATTATGGTATGAATACGATATTGTTGAATACGTTTGTTAATGGTCTACAGAATTTTTCATAATTTAGAGTTTCTGGTATCTGCGAATCCGCGAATGTAAAATATGTTTCGCACGTTCATTTTAAACATTATTGTTAATGAAGTTGATTCAGTTTCATTTCGCAGCACGATTTTTTACAAACTGCAAATTTGTACAAAACTAGTTTGTATCAAGTTGTACTGTGTGTACAGTATGTCACGATAACCTTTTTTCAAATGACGCCATTCAGTGACCTAATTTATCTTAGATTCATGTACTGTAATATTTATTTTTTCTCTTTATTAAAATGCAGAGAAACCTTGAGTACATTTAAAAAGGAGATATCGGTAAACAAGGATAAATAAACAAGGCATGCAATTTCACACTGAACTATTTACTTTAATGTTTATTTTGTGACGATAATGCCTCACAGCTCTAAGGTCTCTGCTGAATTTCCAAGCACTTGCTGGATCTGTTCATTTGAATTTTTTTAATGGTCCCTATATGCTTGTGTGTGTTGCACTGGACTGGTGTAATGTACAGAGAGTAGTTTCACTTTGTGTCCTCTGCTTCCGGGATAAATTATTACTTCCTACGGCCCTTAACAGGAAGGAGAGCATTCTGAAAAAGGTTGGATATCGACAATGATAGTGTGCAAAAATGTATTTTCTATAATTGCATTCTGATACTGACTCCAAAGTGCTACCTACTTTGTATGGCCTGCTTTGTTTACCATTAAAGAGCCACATCTACCTCAGTGACGAGCAGCTCCCATTGTGCACCAACAGCCCCACTACACAACAAAAAATTGAGAAATTGCTTCACCAGTTGAATTGTGGGGAAGATGTAGGTAAACCCCTTAGTGTAATCCCCAAAAAATAGAATGGACATTAGTTAACACTTCCACTCTCACAAACAGTGCCATGAGATCTTTATAAGTAAATGCAGCAGCCTGGACAGCACAATGTCTGTGTCAGCGTTACCATACTGGAGCATAGATATGGAGAGAAATTGTGGTCTGGAGGGTACCTGCTCATCCACCAACACTGCTTACAGCAGCAGGCATATTTTCCAAGCCTGGCCCAGCTTCTGGGTCTAAACAGGTTACAGTGTGGGCTCTTAACACTGCTCTTCACATTAACATGTTGCATTACTGAAACACTGTTGCATTCAGTAACAACACAATCAAGAGGTTACATTGTTGAACTACCCTCTTCCAAAATGTTTTGTTTGAATACTTTGAAACAACACTTTGGAGCAAAATGTAAAATTTGATGAGGTAACAAAATCAGACAGTAATACATATCATATTTTGCAACTGGTAGGAAAAGTTAACAATACAGGAAAAACTGTGACCAAACAGACTGAGTGTTGGGTTTATGTTAAAATAAAATATAAATATGATTATACAAAAATAGTTACAATCAAATTAAGATGAAGATGGCAAATCAAAACTAATGGAGAACCAATGGAAAATGATGATATACTGTATGGTTTTGTTTACAAATTCCTGGAAGTTCTGAGATTGCTGATGTTACAATATGATTGCATAAACGTTTAAAGTCTTTAAGATTACTTACATTCTTTTGCAATATTACAGGACAATTCTGATTATTCTAAAGAATTTAGTAGTATATTTTACTAAAAGTTTTAAAAGTTGAGTTTGCCAAGCTATTTCATAATTGTGTCGTTTTTGTTTCTGATTTAACCTTTATAAACAGGTTTATCAATCTACATTGTTATTACATTTAAAGGATTAGGAAATATATTCAGTTATTATATTCTACTTTCTTATTGCAGTATTATTATCTCGTATTGCTTTTGAGGCAGTTGTAGAAGACTGTGCTGTGAACTACCCAAGAATTACAGTATTTTATGTACCTAGTTTTGATTATTATGATGCAAATTGTGTTAACAACTTTTTATGTGCATTGCACTATTTGTTTTTTTTTTTAATTGTAGGATGACTGAAGGCGTTAGTACATAACAAAAAATAATGTTCAACAGGCCGTATCTGCTCCTGGAATTTAGAACACGAAATGATTCCACTACTACCCACCCGTGTCACGTTGTTTTGTGGTACGTCAGAAACTGGTACGAAAAACAGCTGCGTTTGCCCTTTGCGGTTTGCGCATGCCCAAAACATTGGTGCCTGAAAAAACGAAAACACCCATCAGAACCTGGTACGTGACCAAATTGAAGTGTTTCAGGTAATGTTATTTTATTTTATTATTATTTTTAAACCTCTACAGGTTCAAACCATGGAAAACTTTCTCGCTCGTATTCCCAGACGGGTTTAATCGCCTCCAAGATCAGCATCACAGCTAACCGTGCTCCTCACAGCACGACATAACTTGTGTCATGGGGAGCGGGACACGGGACGGGGGAGAGTTTTACAGTGATGCACGCTATTAACTTTGTTAGCTTACCAACAGGCTTTTGCGCCGATCACGTACTAGCTGTTTTTCAGCAATGTTCACTGGTAATTACAATTTTCCTATTGAAGGCACCTCTGATGTTGGCAGGACACTGCAAGAAAACCCCTGGTAGTTACATTGCTTCAAAGTTGAAGCGCAAGTGTTTTTTTTTCTGTAACCGATTTTGGACACAAACCTAGGTAAATTGTAAGAACATCGACAGGCGGCACAGATAATAAAAAAGGCGGTGCGTCTGTAGCAGCGTCACACACTGCTATCTTAAAGGGACTATTGTCCATAATTAAAATGTGTTCTGATATGTAATTACCTATGGCAGCATTTTGTTTTGTGTTTTTTTTTAACTGATCCTTTTCCGTTATTTTCTCCATTGTTTGTATTATTTGATGTTCAATAAAAGTTTATTATAAAAAACATTATAATGTTTATAATTATTATAATTATGCTAGCAGCCATGTCACCCTGCAACTCACATCTGGCAACCCACTGAAGGTGAGCAGGTGTGAGCCTGGTCAGGACTTGGATGTGAGACCTCCTGGGAAAAACTAATGTTGCTGCTGGAAGAGGTGTTAGTGGGGCCAGCAGGGGTCACTCACCCTGCAGTCTGTGGGGGTCCTAATGCCCCAGTATATTGACGGGGACACTATACTGCTAAAAAGGCGCTGTCATTCAGATGAGACGTAAAACTGAGGTCCTGACTCTGTGTCAGTAAAAATCACAGGTTGTTTCTCGAAAAGAGTAGGGGTGTAGCTCATGGCCTCCTACTAATCCCCATCTATATGAACTGGCTTCATCACTCTGTTCTTTTCCCCACTGATAGCTGATGTGTTGTGAGCGTTCTGGTGCACTATGGCTGCATTGGTGGTGGTGGAGAGGAGTACCCGTTATCTGTAAAGCGCTTTGAGTGGTGTGTCCAGAAAAGCACTATATAAGTGTAAGCAGTTATTATTATTATTATTATTATTATTATTATTATTATTAATGGATTTTAATCGCTTAGTAACTATGTTGGATTCATAACAAGTTTGAGACACCTGGTGCCCCCAGACATGGAGTAAACTATGCACAAAATGGTACAAAACTGCTGTTAAGTGTGGAAATTCCTTAAAAGTCATAGCTAGAATTCTACAGCAACTGGCTTAAGGTTTAAATTAATTTGTAGGTGAATTTGCAAGCATCTTATCTAGTGATTGGAAAATAAATAATGCATTGGGCATCTGCCAGGTTTGAGTCAAGAAAGTTTGTATTATTGAATAGTGAATTATCCATGTTTAACCATCCATCAGCAAGCCTCTTATCCAGGCATGCTGGAGCCGATCCTGAAGTACAATACTAGTACTGCACAGGGCATTATTCAGAACTAAGGACACACAACTTGTAGGAAAACAGAGAAATAAACAAATTGATTGAATTAGACAAACATTTGATTGCTGCTCATTTACTTAAATTCCAGCCTTACTATTTTACACAGCTGAGAATTTTGCTTGAAGTGCTTCCAGTGAAACACCTTGCTCAAGGGTTATGTCAGAGCCCCTACTACTTCATACTACTGCCTACTATTTAGCTACTTAAACCTAACCACCATGCCTTGACATTTTATTGCCATCATCTAGACATTTTGATAAGCAGTAAAATCTCCAAGCAAAGTTTTACAATGGTAAATGTTATGATAGGCTTTATAGTTAAAAGTGTGAATTTTAAAACAAGGAAGGTTATGTTGGAGAGGTACAATGCATTGGTATGTGTGCTGTTTTGATCACCACATTACAAAAACTACATTTCTTTTCAGTTCAAATAAGTGAGACAAGATTAATTCAGGCGTTAAGGAAGGGATGAACAACTCAGGTATTTGACTGGGAGTGTCCAGTGGGTCTTACAGGTACCTTGTTATTAAGAAATTACTCAATTAAAATAAACTTATTGTCCAATTAATTAGTGCAATTGAATGATTAAAACGTAGATGAGGAATGAAAAGAAGAGGATCCTACTGTCCTTGAGGACTGGGGTTGTCTGTGTCTCTGTTTAAAAGTATTGTGCGCAGGCAGGAACTCAGTTCCTTAGATTTTAGTCCTGAACAGAGACAATTACAAGAGACCACAATAAAATTACATGAAGATGGAATAGTTATAAAACATTTAGCCATTATAGGAGGTGTTTTAAGGTGCTTTTGGCTATATTATTCAGCTGTTATAAGGTATATTTTGTATTATATTAAAGAAAATATTTTTATTCACTTTTTAGCTGTTTGCAAGTGTAATTACAAATTAAAATATTAAGCATTTGAAAAACAACTGTTGCATTGGACAGCTGGTTTTGTAAATGAATTTGCAAATGTCTTTTTTTTAGTTGGATTTTTTACAAAACATGGAAGAAAAAATATCAAAAATTGTAAACTTCCTTACAAGCGGGGAATATCCACAAGGCTTTTCCAGATCACAGAAACAAAACCTTAGAAGGCTGAGTGAAAAATTCTCTGTGCAAGGTTAGTAAACTGAAATAACTATGTTAACATTTGTTTGGATCTAAATAACTCTTGGATAAGCTCTAACAACATTTTTAACACAATTGAGATTAACAGTTTTGTTAGTTGTTGAATAAAACTTTTTCCCCTCTAGATGGAAAGCTATTTCATATTTCCAATGGTAGAGAGCGCAAGGTGCTAACAACAGTACTGGAAACGCAAGACATTTTCAAAGAGTGCCATGTGTCTGCAGCAGGTGGCCACAACGGCATTGTCAGAACCAGAGAAGCAATATCTGCACGATTTTATTGGCCAGGAATGTCGAAAGACATTGAGAAAATGGTAGGTTAAATCTCAAATGCAAATAGTGTATTTGTCAGTCCAGTATTTGTCAGATTGTTGTGTAAGTGCATAGATAAAACTGTTATGTATCTATTTTATGATCAAGATATTATGTATACTATATTTTCTTAGTTAACATTTTAATGCTGTTGCTCATGAGCTGTGTGTAAATATTCCAGGTAGAACAATGTGAAACATGTCAGGAAGGTGGAAAATCCATTCGAAATAATCCAGAACTTGTCAAGGTATGTTGTAGATTCAGTTTCAGCCATGAGCATGAAGCCTTCTTAAGGACACAAGAAAGGTTACAAAAGAGAGGAAATTATTTGGCTCATTTGCTTGTTAGAATCTTAACATTTCAAGGATCTTGCCTATCAATCATTTGATGTATCCAGAGGAATCAGCTTTAAAAACATGGTTGGAAAGTTTGTTACAGATGGACTTTCACTTTCTTGTGTACAAAGGTGCTTCCTAATTTCAACCCTACCTGTACTTGCCCTTGATTTCCTTGTGTTCTCAAGTCCTTGTTTCTCTGTCAGGTCTTGAAGTAGTAGGTTCATTTTTTTGGCTTTTAGGATTTTACTCTGATCAAGATTAAAGACGTTCAGTTTCTTTAACTTGTCAGTGGCTTTAGGACCAGTGATTAACCCCCCTTTTTATTGATTCTGAACCTTTTTGTAATGTGGCTAACAAAACCAGTAACGGTATTCCTAAAGAACTGTTATCAATGCATTCATTTTAAGATACTATCTGTTGACTTCAAGATCACATTGCTAGGTTTATGAATATTGCTAATAATCATAATCTGGTTATGGACTCCTTGCATATTTAAACACTTCAAATAAATATTCTAAATCCCAAAATAATTATTCCAAAACCAACATTTTGGTAAGTAGGAGAAAATTAATTAAAAAAAATATAGATCACAAAACACCTAACTAAAATCATCCTAATAAATAATTTACTGTAACATACACATGGTTTAATATGCATTTCATAGTGATAAACAAGCAAGTGTATTACAAATTTGGTAGTTCTCAGCCTGAGTTCATAGAATTTTTAAAGAATTAATGATGATGCTCAGACTCTATATAAGTATACACAATTTTTCCTAAAATCAAGATTTTTCATCTTTTCATCTGGCATTTATTGTTCATGAGCACTTTATTTATTCTCTAGGTAGAACAATTAGAAAAATTCCAAGAAGACAGAAATTTTCTTCAAACTGGCACAGATATGCAGAGTGCTGAGGTATGTTACAGAGAAAATTGTTTCCAAGATCATGATCATCAAATATTTTATTTTCATGTTAATGTGCTGGAAGTACAGAGATACTTCAGACCCACTTAGACTGCACCTGCTAAGAAAAACAGGATGATTACCAGGTGGAAAAGAATGAAGAATGAAGGAATAGACTCCTTTTACATTGCAGAGAGACCACTTTCACGTTCTGTATGTTGAAGTTGTTGAAAACAAAATGTTTAAAGTAGGGTAATTTTGAAGCCAAAGATTGAAAAAGTAAGCAAAAAGTTTAAGCAAGCAAATCAATTCAAGGCATCAGTTAGAATCAGTGTTTAAGAGGCCAATTGTAACAAATCAGCAGATGCAGGGATCCCCAGGACCAGGACTGGCTGTACTATATTATGATTCCATTACAACAGATAGTACTTTTGGATACCAATAGAAAAATGTGAAATATCAGATTTCTTCATTTTCATGTTATTTACAGGGTTTGAGAAATCAGTATATCTTCTGTTTGCATTTAATCTAAACAGTATGAGTTAATGGAATTTAGATCCAAAGAATTATCTGCAGTCCTGGAGATATATTAACACTCTTTTTATTTATTTTGCAGCAACCTGTTCACTTCATGAATCCAGGACCACATCTTCCCATAACAGTAGGTATCACACCAGGACAGTGTCACGATTTATGTTGCTGCCCTGGGAGCAGGGTGGAGTTTTAGGGAAGACAGACAGAGTGATGGCCTGGTGGTTCGAATTTTTTTTGGACCTCGTTAGGTTAGAGCAAGTCATGTCTGCAATGAAAAACATAATTTTAGCAAAATATTTTAGCAAAGTGTAGGGCGGCAGAGTGGTGCAGTGGTTAAAATACTGGTAGGTCAATTGGCTTCTGGAAAACTTGCCTTGGGATTCGTAAGTGTGCATGGTAAATGGGGTTGTGTCAATGTTTACCTGCAATGGACTGGTATGGCGTCAAGGGTGTATCTTGCCTTGCGTCAGTTGCTTGACGGGATAGGCTGTGGCTCTGGCTCCCCCATGACCCTGAATTGGATGAAGTGATCAGAAAATTGATGGATGCATAACTGTACAACATATTTAATCTTCAAGCAGCATTTCATGTTTTATATATAGATAAATAATAATTAGGCTTTCTTACTAATAAAGAACTGATGCAATTCAGCAATGTCACAGTATGTGTGTGTTACTTCTGTATGTGAGTTATCTCTGCAAAAGCACAAAACCATCCATTTCTACGAGATTCAGTGTTGACTGTGTCATGCTTCAGTACACATACCAAAGGTGTTTAAAGTTTCAAAATGATTTGTAGAAACTTCATTTACAGTTCTTTTCTTAACCAAGTAGCTGTAGGCTTTATACAGCAGATGAAGGGGGGAAACCTGGTTCCTGTGATGCGCCTGACTCAGCACTGGTAGAATGGTTTGAGCTGAGGTGTTATGTGCCATCAAGGAAAAAGAAACTTCAATTAATAAATCAGTTTACCAGTCTGTTGTGTAGCAAACATATTTCCTTACAGCAATATATACTGATGGAAAAAATAAATGCAACACCTCCTCCTCCACACTCTGGCACTCCCGTCTGCGTGGAACAGGCTTAATGGTGACTCATCCGTGAAGAGGACCTACTGCCACTGCTGATGAGTCTGTCTGGCCCAAGCCAGTCGGGTGTGAGGGCCTCTGACAGGTCATTGTCAATGCGGGCATTGTGTCTGCCGGCAGTTTCAGCAGCAGTACGTGTGGTACAGTAGATCTCTCAGATGGACCAGTCTGTCTGATGTGTCGGTCCTACTCTGGTGTGGTCACTCAAGGGCGACCTGATCTTAAATGGTCATCTGTTCTCCTGGTCTGCTGAAACCTTCTCTGCAGTCAGGACACAGTGGAGCGGCTTACTCCATAGTGTCTGGGAATGCTGGCACATGACATGCCTGCCTGCAGCATGCTAATGGCCCTCTCCCTTGCTTCCGCTGACATTTGAGGCATTATGGAATGCCCAGAAAAGTGTGGCCTTTTTCTTGCAGTGACCTAAGCTTTGAACAAAGGCCTTTTTAAAGGTGACCTGATCAGGAATTGTTCCACCTGGACCTCCTTAGGTAAAAGTGCACCTAATGAGCTTTCGTGTGATTGGCAAGTTGCAATGCCTCACTGCACAAGCTGTATTGCTGGTCAGAGGGCTTAAAACAAATTGACAACTTTTTGTGAAAGTACAGTACATAAGCTATGACTAATATTCCAGAAAATGTTGTGTTTCTTCTTTCCATCAGTATATATGGCAACCACACTAACTGTAGTACACAACAGAATTCAATAAATGCCATATTTTGTGGGGGAAACTGCCACTAATTCTGCACAAGAATGGAAAGTAGAATATTTCTATTATTTGTAATTCTGTACTGTTCCCCCAAGTGTGTTTACCAGTGTTTTTCTGTGAGACTCTTACGTAGTCAGGGGTCTGTTTATTCAGATTACTTTGAAGTATTCTGTGGTCTGCTTTTTGTATGACTGTTGTTGTTTTATTTTTTATTTCAAACTGCCTGAGAGTGGCTGTGAAAAATGTATAGTACTGTAAATGCACAATATACGTACCACATTGTTCTCGTTTTGCAGAACTAGTTGTGGATGTTGTATTTCTATCAACTACCTATCATATTACTATAACTGATATAATTCTTATTAAAAAGCTGCTTTATTAACATTTGTTTTTTATCATTTGACTTTATTTTGTTCATAGTTACATAGGAGCATTCTGAGGATGGGAGAGGAACCTGCAATTAGTCGCTGTACGACTTGCTGTAAACTGTTTCATTGCCCTTTCTGCAACATGAATAAGTTTAAACCAACTACAGAAAAGCATGTGAAGAAGCACATAGACATACATTTTAAAAAGGCATTATGCTTTGAGGGTGTGTATTTTTAACAGTATATTTTTAATACTTTTGTATTTAATGATGTAGCACATTGTGGCAATCGTAAGTGATTATCTCTTGAATCGTTCCAATTTCATTTAAAATTCTCTGGTGTTTGATAGGAAAAATGGCAATTGTCGGATTTTTAGATAGTCATTTTAGATTTTAGAAAAAGACACATAGGCTTTCTCCTCACTGACTCTCCTGGACCAGAATCAGCCAAAGCTGCCAACTCTTGGATCATTATATACAGTACTTATTGAATTAAATATTATTGCCATTTATTTTAATTTAACAGTACATTAATCCTGAAGTATATGAGTATATATTTTTAGTGAAGTTCCATTTCTTACTTTTAAGGAACAAGTAATAGGTTAATTCCATGCTGAAAAGATGAGAAAGAAAACACAATGTTTCGGCCATGGAGCCTTCTTCAGGTGTGACGGCCGAAACATTGTTTTCTTTTTTTTCAGCATGGAATAAACCTATTGTTCCTTTGCAGCCTACCCATGCTGATACAGCTACCCACCTGAACTACTTTCTTATTTTTAGATTGAAAATTGGCTTTGTTTACATGACACCACTTTAATGTTGTGTATTGTTGTTTGTGCTAATATTAGATTTTACACTGTTGAACTTCTGTTTTTTTTCTCTCTACAGACTTTGTTATTTTTACATGCCGCTTGGGTTGTCGAGATGCTGGTCACTTCCACTGTATTTTTTGTGCAAAGACAACTTTGAGGAAAAAGACTGCTTTGATCCATCTTTCTATTTGCAAAAAGCGCCTGGTACAAACCTTGGCCAAGTCTGCTGACTGTATTCCAAAAGTTTCACCTTTGGAGAGCATGAAGATAGAATCTCCAGAGGACCTCTCACTGCCGCCCATACCAGAGACAGACTACCCTGTTCACATGGTGGAGGCAGACTGGTCTGACTGCAGAACAGAAAAAGAACCTTCTCCCCAATTCCAGATCATGGTAATTATCCTATATGAAATACTTACTTATAGTTACAATTGGATTTATTCTTTTTACAAGACACAATGCTTGCAACACTTATTAACAGCCAATTGAGCACTTCTTACAACTCGTATTTTGAATTAGGTTATAGTACATCCACCCATTTTCTAACCTATTTATCTAATACTGGCGGGTGAGCCAGAGCCTATCCAGGCAGGCAGGGTACAGGGTACCCTGGACAGGACTCTAGTCCATCACAGTGTTCACAGACATGCACATACTCATACCAGGGCCAGTTTTGCCAAAATCAAATTAAAGGGGAACTGCAGTTCCACATTGCACGTATTAAGTCTTGGTAACAAAAGAAATTAATTAATGTTATAGAAAATTTGACTAATTTTGAATTAAGCACAAAATCAAAATCATGAATTTTGTGAAAGTACTGTAAATCGCCCTGTTATCACAAACCCCTGGTCTTGCCACGGGCGCACAAATTGCTACGTGAAGCAGCCCTTCCTGCTCACTAGTCACTGCAATGACTAATGTAATGTGATGTACAAGCGAATAAGTACAGGTTGTGCAGCAGACATTTCACTGCAGAAATGTTCCAGTATGATCTACATGCAGAGTTAACAAGTAAGTTGTATTTGTCAAAACTGTCTCGAAGTTGAGAGCAATATTTCTTTTGGATGAAAAGAGATGTATTCATAAGCCAGTGTCTTTACAATGTAATAAGGCCATCTATAACATCACTGGAAGTCATATTGCCTCATTCTGAATCGCAGAATCTGGTGCTGTGCATACCTGGAAATATAATCTATTTTGTGAGGTAAATTTGATTTTTTTATATACATTTTACTTTTAGCGTGGCTTGAAACGTAGTCAGCAATGCTGATTCTTTTTAATACTGAAATATAACAATAGCACTGAAGTTCCCCTTTGACCTATCAGTATGTCTTAAGCTACGGAAGGGAACCGGAGGAAACCTACATGAACACGGAGAGAAAATACAGACTCCACACTTACAGCACCCCAGGAATTGAACCCAGGGCCCCAATGCTGCAAGGCAGCAATGCCAACCACTGTGACACTGTGCCACCCTATTTAGCTTACTATCTTACAGTATATGATTAATTTAGAATGCATAACACAGCCCTGTTTAATTTTTAAGACAGGGCATTTATTCAGATCTGATTGTAAATCACCTACACATTGATTGTCCAGCAAAAGAATTAGCTTCAAATTGAAGCATGTACATTATTCAGATTTCTACTGAAGAACATATTGATATTATTCCAAATCTGCAGAAACCTTCCGGCCTTTAGCATCTGACCCATCTGCTTCTTCAAAGAGCCAAGTGAGACGATTTCTAAGAGCCTGCTAGGTAGTTTCTTCAAGACTCCTGCAAATCTTTGTGTAATGAATTGCTTTCATTTTTTGAACCCTAAATATATTTAAGTTTTATATTAACTTTATAACTTATATTAAGGCCTTCAACCTTAATTCGGGAAGGTTTTGCAAAACCTCGAAAGTTTGGTTGCTCTGAAGTCCCAGACTGGACAGAGATTTGTGAGCTAATATACTTTTTCTTTTAACTTTGTACTGTCACTGCCCAGAGGTTTGAAATGATAGACATAGAAGCATCTAATAAAATATACTTTACTTTGCACAAGGGTGTTGTATCCTTGGCTGGTGCAGAAATCCCACACCCCATGATCCCGAATAAAATATCTACCTGAATTACCTCTCTGAAGCATCAATTGAACTTTGTGCGTTTTATGACAAATATAACTGCTGCTTTACTGTACTAATTCCCAGTTTTTTAATATTTTAACAGATGTTCAGCAAAAATGCATGAAGCCACATAAGCCACCCGTTATTTTATTGTTAAAATATGTCAGGTCGAATGAAAAGGCTTTCTTTCTACTGGTGGTCACATTTATTTTATTTCTGGAGACCCAAAGGACTGTCCTAAGGTTGAAAAATTTCCTTTATATCAAGACAGTTCAACACCCACTACAATACAGTTGTAAGGAGCCTTTGTACTGCAATATGGGGAAACTACATGCTGCTGAAGCAGCACCTTGTGTAGCTAGTTGGTTACATTCAGAAAAGAAAGCGAACCCAGGATGGGCCTAAAATGTCCATTTTTTTTTAGGATATACTGTCCTTACTCGTCATACTCGGTGTAAAACCAGTTATTTGTGAGATGAGTTATAGCGCATAGCATGCAACATGAGAAATCGAATCGACCCGGTAGGACTTGGTACGATCCTTCAGAAAACTGAAAATATATTAAGTATACATAGTATACGCGGTTAACATTCGTCATTATAAAGCAGGTCGCTTTATAATGACGAATATTATACCAAAAATATGCAAATTCACAATAACCCAAAATACTACAATGGAAAATCGAAACGATCACGTGTTTCATGCGCCAGCTCTCCAAACCAACCCTTACTGTGAGGAGTAACGTTGCCTTCTGTTGCGAGACGTTTTTCTCGTTAATGGAATAGGCTGAGTGACTTATTTTTGTTTCTTTCACCCCATACACTCGCCGTTTCCCGCAATGGGTCTTTTCTCTCTCTCAAGAAGTCGCTGTTTTCTCTCCCAGCTTGTTCCTGGCTTGTCGGCTTTATTGCACAGGCAATACAGCCTTTCCATTTCCTCGGATTTGTTCCGCACTCAGTGCTTCATCGGGGGACGCTGGGTGTCCGCTCCTTCTTCCTTCACTGTTCTGGACCCGGCAACCGGCACTGAGATAGCTCATGTCTCGGACTGCGGTCCTGGCGAAGCCGAAGAAGCCATCGGTGCTGCTCACACGGCCTTTCAGTCATGGAAACAGCACTCGGCGAAGGTGAGTTGCGCGGTGAATTGCAACGGGTTGAAAGGTTTCAGAGAACGACTAGATGCATGCTTAATAAGTACAGCCTAAGGGAAGTATTAACACCCACATTCTAGGTGTTACACTGTTTTTTGTAAATAGGCCTCGTCAGTCAGTGGCTATATGATTGTAAATTAAGCAACATTTGCAGAGGCGCAGAGCTACGATTTAAGATAAACAATTAATTTCTGCATCACTGCATTTCCCGTTTTAGGTCTTTTTTTCCATGAAACCCGACTGTAATCATTGTCGTGTTTAAAATGAGATTAGTTAAGATATTGCATTTGGTTTTAACTACTTTTAAAGACTTTTATTAATCACAGTGTTTTAGGTTTATATATTATGCGATAAACATGATTATAACTAACCATGTCAAGTACGTTCATACCACAGATGCTTACAATAGAATGCTAAACAACATCTTATCTTAAATTTGTGATAGTGCGCAAAGACGTTATACTAATTGGCCAGGGTGACGGAAAGGAAATTGCATTTTCTCTCGTCCGTTGTCTTCTGGTCTTCTGTTCTGTATTGACAAAATGTATCGTCAATTGCATTGTTAAGCGCCTTGGGACAACCTTGTTGTGAAAGGCGCTTTATAAAAATACATTGAATTGAATTGAATTTTTCGGCAAACAAATAAAGACAGTAGTCCAGACAATCAGAGAAAGGAATAAGTTATTTGGCTGCATAAACTACAGGTTTACATTAGAACAGAAGAAGAGTTACATATGAGATATAACTTTTTGACCCAGCTTGTTTTAGAGGCTGTCAAGCTCAGTGATCCTGTGTCAGAATGTGGTCTGGTGATTATGGAAATGTTGATTTAAATTGAACGCAGGTATCTTTTTAATTATTGTTTTAACTCCATGTCTGTCTGTGGAAATGTATTCAAATTAAGGTCACAGGGTTTCATCTCCATAACATATTTCTGGAAGAGACCCAGATTTAATTTTCTTAACAGCTGGAATAAAAACTGAGGATCCTTAAAAGAGACACCACTAGCATTTGATTGCTATTGGGTAACACACCTCACATGGAGGATTTTAGTACAAAGTACATAAATGGCTGTTTTAAGTGTTTTTATTGCACAGGCCTTGTGAAATAAATGTGCTAAAGTCCAGTGCCCTGCAATGTTTTAGATTTTTTTTTCTGGCAGGCAGTTAATTAACTGGATACTCAGTAAGTGAACACTTGCTAACAGACTCTAGGACATCACTGATCTTTATTGTATTATATTTTATGAGTTGAAATGATCTCAGTTGTTATGATGTGTGTTTAGGAAGGAGCTGAAGTTATCCCTAAAGAGTTGTTTTCTATCTAGGAAAGAAGCGTTCTGCTAAGAAATTGGTATGACTTGTTAATACAAAATAAAGAGGATCTTGCCAAGCTCATAACTGCGGAGTGTGTAAGTAGTAAACCCTTTTTATTTTTTTAAATGGATTTGTATTCAGCCCATATCTGTCAAATTAGATTGAGTCACAATGCACAAGTTCACATTCCACTTTAAAGAGTACAGCAGTTAAAAAACAACCAAAATGAAACTTTGTTCTTAGAAACAACGTCATTAAGAAATAGCATCTGTAATACCTCTATATTATGTTTTAACCATCTTTATATATTGTAACTTTTTAAATTATGACGGCCAATTTTTTTCATTTTCAGTAGAATTGAGCGAGTTATAGAAAGAAGTGTTGCGTGTCTCCTACTAAACCATCCTTTGACAGTCATGATTTTACTTTAAGCAAAACAGTTGGAACATGTCACGGTTTCTAAATAAGAAAGAAGAAAAGAAAAAGATCACTTTATTGGCTATATACAATTTCTTGTATTAGAAATTTGTCTTTTCGCATATCCCAACTTGCTCTCCATGAGACACACAGACATGGAGAGAAGCTTGGGGTCAGAGCCCAGGGTCAGCCATTTATATGATGGTAATTGGCTGTGTAGAGATTAACTTTTAAAACTTGTTTGATAAAATTATAAACTCAATTCTAGACTTGGTTTCCTTTATTACAACAGATCTTATTTTGCACATTCCTCTAGGTCACATTAGTTCACAGGTCCATGCTCTCCATCATGGACTACAATGACGTGGTTTATTGAATGGACTCTAAAACTGCTTATTGCTGACGAAATAGTGCTTTTATTGCACTATTCTGCCACAATATTTGTCACTGGTAGCTGCCTATTGTACTCTTTTTGTAATCTTAACTTTTTAAATGTCCTTCTCTGCACAATAGACCCAATGCTTCACTTGGATGAATTCATTTTCACATTAAATTGAGAAAACACCTTCATATTTCAGTCTATTGCAGTCCTATAAACTAAGGTTGCTGCTGGAAGAGGTGTTAGTGGAGCCATTAGGGAGCGCTCACCCTGTGGTCTGTGTGTGTCCCAATGCCCCACTATAGTGATGAGGACAATGTAAAGGAATTGCCTTTTCTAGGGAAAGCCAATGAAGGAGGCCTTAGGTGAAGTGGTGTACTCTGCCTCTTTTCTGGAGTGGTTTTCTGAAGAAGCCCGGCGTGTCTATGGAGACATCGTCCCCTCTTCAGCAAAGAACCGCAAAATTCTCGTGCTCAAACAGCCGGTGGGAGTATGTTCAATCATAACTCCGGTGAGTAGGTGAACAATTTGAAAATCCAGTGCTTTTCAGTTTCCGTTTAACATCTTTCACTATATTAAACATCATATTTCATTCTTTTTATAAATACCATTTCTTACCTCATGAGGTTTATACTGCTGCCTTTTAAATAAGTAAGCCTAAATGTCTTTTTTATTTTTTACATTTTGTAGTAGTTTTTCTAAATGCCTTCACTCACCATGGAATGACCAAGTTTTAATGAACAATGTTGTAGCAGTACAGGAGAGATGGAAATGTACACACAAAAAGGAGATGTATTGAAAATGATCCTACATCCTGCCAGGTTTTTCAGTGATGTCCCATAAGCCCTTTAATACAGTGGATCCTAACTTTTTTTTTTACAAAACCCTAGACAAATTTTCTTTATGAAATTGTGATCATTTTTTTAAAGATCTCTGGATTGTATCCGAAGCTTTAGAAGTAAGTTCCAGATGGTGGTGTGCTAGGGTGATCTGGTTCTTACCTGTCTTGTTTTCGTTTTGTTTTACAGTGTGTACAGTATGTGATCCTGAGTTGATTGTGCTATTTTTCCTCTTTAAGTATGAGAGATTGATTTGCTGCATATTCAAACAACATTCTGCTGAAGTTTTACTTATCTTCAAGGGGCTTTTGCTGCCAGGAATGTGGCCACAGGTGCTACAGCATGCAGCTGCTACCAGACATCCAAATACCAGCCCAGGAAGAGGGGAGGAGGGTTGGGATTTACACCTTTCACCAAAGCCTAGTTTAATTCTTTTCAGTGTCCTCTCCCTGTTTGGATAATACTGATTGGAGTGTTTTTAGGGAGACATGTAATGAATTTACTGACATGGTTACCTCTTACATTAATTTTTCTGAAAATGTGTGCATGTCATTTGACTGTTTTTAGTAATAACAAGTCATGTTTTAGCATGGAGGTTATGATACCATGCAGGAAGAAAAATGAATCTTATAAACGTTGAGATATGTTGAGATAGAGAATGGTACAAAATGGCTAAATATGATTTTGAGAGGGCTGTGAAGAGAGCATAAAGCCAAGTATAAGCTGGCTTTATGCAAAGAATAGTCAAGGGGTGAGGCTGGGTCTGATCACAGGCCGTAAGGTTGCACAGTCTATAACAATAATCCCAAGCTTCCAAATTGTAGATTTGACGGCCAGACAGCTGATCAACAGAGTCTGCCTACAGTGGTCGAGCCCCTGAGCCCACCTTTTGTGTTTCAGGAGCGTGAGATCAGGAACCTGCTACTCAAACAACACAGCAGGAAAGTGACAGGGCCTGATCTTGTGTCTACAGCGACTCTTAAGTGCTGTGCCGACCAGCTCTCTCCTGTTATTTCTAACATTTTTAATAGGTCTCTTGAGCACAGTAATGTCTAGTGCCTAAGACAGCCAATGCCAGCTGACTGAATGATTATAGGCCCATGGCCCTGACATCAGTTATTATGAAAGTTTTTAAGTGACCGATTTGTAACCTTCTGTACAGTGTTGAGCTGGACCTGTAGAGGGTGCTGTTTCTCTTTGCCTTTATTCCATTGTGCACCACCTTGAGGCCTCTGCTACCTGTGCATGGGTCCTGTTTGTTGACTACAGCTCAGCAGTTAATACAATTGTGCCTTTAAAGCAGTTTGATAATCTTCAGGTGCTGGGCATTAGCCAGTGCCTGTGCCACTGGATCTTTGATTTTCGGTCTGATTGGAAGCAAGTTGAAAAGACAGATGTGTACTGTCACCACTCCTTTCCTCATAATGCACAAAGGATTGTGTCTCTTTTCACAGTCTGTGAATTTAATAAATTTGGCAGATGACACAACATTAGTATGTTTAATCACTAGCAATGAATAAACAGCATGTAGAAGTGAGGTCAGTGCACTGGCCAAGTGGTGTAATGAAAATAATTTGGAGTTTAACATTGCTAAAACCAAAGAGCTGGAAGTGGAAATTCACTGGGGTGGAGCTGATTTACCACCACCTGTCATTAATGTCTGTAGAAGGAATAGACATCTTCAGGTTTCTTGGCATGACCATCTGCCAGTCATTGAAGTGGGAAGTTAACACCAGCCTAATCATGCGGAAGCCCTTCAAAGGCTGTACTACCTAAGAGAAGTTTAACAGTGACACACCTCAATAAAACTGTGATGCAGAGAGTGGCCACCTTCTCTTTAACAGTGTGGTACAGCAGTACAACTACCCAAGAGAGGAACAGCTGGAAAGAGTTGTATGCACAACATCCAAAATCATCGGATGCGATCTGCCCTCTTTTGCCTCTATTTATGACAGCTGCATCAAACAGAAAGCTAAAAAGGAGTCCAAAGACCTCTTCCACCCCACCAGCTCTTTTTTAAACATCTACCTTCTTGGAGGAGGTTTCAAAGTATCAAATGTAGTACTGCTCAGTTCTGAAATAGCACAATCTAGAAGCCATTAGGCACCTCACTTTGTGCTGTAGATCTTGGATGTTGCAAGTATTATATGGAGTATAACTATAAATAGATTAGACCTGATTGATTGAATAATATGTATTGTATAAGTGTAATATGTGTTTTATTTTTTTTTATCTGGACTGCACTAGGGCAATTTCCAATCAACTTTGTTGACATTGCAATAAAGTATTGAATTGACTTGAAAAACTTTCATTAAATAAATGTTTGTTCAATTTCCTATTCTTTGTAATATTTCTGTGATTTATTTAATCTACTGTAAGAGGAAGGGTCTGAGAGATGCTGAGTAACTTCTTGCTCCCTGTCCTGTCTCCTCCACCAGTGGAATTTCCCCAGTGCCATGATCACGCGGAAGGTGGGCGCAGCGCTGGCGGCAGGCTGCACAGTGGTGGTGAAGCCAGCCGAGGACACCCCACTTTCTGCCCTCGCCCTGGCTGAGGTCAGTATCCCCATAGTCTTGCAGTCCCTTTTACTTCTTGCATTAGTCCTTGTGCTTCTTTTAAGATGGGGTTTCTAGATGTGCGATACTTCTAGCTGTCCTTTCTCCCTCAGAAATTTATTTTCAGCCTCAATCTGACAGACCATCTTCCCAGCTGACACCTAATTATCCCTTTTCTCCTACTCTCCTGTTTTCCTTTATCTGCAACCTCTTTGTTGCTGTATATTTTGTGGAAGGTGTCAGTAAAGAAATCTTGTTCTTACCACCAATTACTATAAACTAATCAGCACTCAATGTGTCCAACCCCGAGGTCTGATTTTTGTCTCTTCAAGTTCCACCCCTCTGGTGGGTGTGCAATATAATTGTGAATTTGCATCCTTGGACTAATTTTTGTTGTTGATTTTGGGTTGGTTTCTTCTGTTCCACAGATTTTGCAGAAGAGTATAGGCTCAACAAAACTGAAAATTGTTCACTTCAATATATCAGTGTGTTTTTTATTTGCATAGGATGGATTATGTGTCAATAGCTAAAATAAGAACTGTAGTTACTGTCTTTATACTTTAGAAAGTAAGTTTTGGAGAAAATTAACAGAACTGTTTGGTATGTTAAAAGGAAAGTAGGTTCAAAGTACAGAACTTCATTTTGAAACTTTTATAGTTTCTTGACCCCTTAAAATGTAGAATACAGAAATTGTTTTTCATGCAGTGATGTTTTTGATATATGCACTCTCCACGTTGAAAACTTTGTTTTGAAGTTGTGCACTGTTGTAACCTGCAGATTTTCCTTAGTGCTCATTGTGATGGGTATGGTATTGGGTATGGTATGGGTATTTTATGTTTCTGTGGGTTACTTAACCTTTAAGGTAACTTCATACTGGAACAGAATGTTCAAAACCAGTCCCAATATGGTGACGAGGGACACTGTAGGAAATGTCATCATGTTAAACCATCCAACTGTAGGTCTGACTACATGGTCAGTGAAGATGCTATGACACTTGTGAAAAAGGCATTAATCCCTTTGTTTTTGCTATATCTGTTGTGTAATGGGACTGCTGCATGTCACCCAGCTGAGTGCTGCACTCTAGTGATGGCCACTCTATTGATAGTGATAGGTCCCTTTGCTTCTATAACCAAGTGCTTTGGGAACCCATTGGGATCTTTATATTGGGTGCTACCCATTCATCTAGTTTCTAACTGCTTTATCCAGTATAGGCTCATGGGAGATCCAGGGCTTATCCTGGCTATGGAAATGTAATTATTATAATAACACAAAAAAATAGAAAAGTTCAAAGCTACAGAATTTGATCAGAATTTGCCGTTGATTAGCATATACTGTTACTGTGGGCATGATGCCGCCAGTTGTAAGATATGATAACATAAAATGATTTGTCCTTTGTTAAAGATTTTTGAGGTTAGAGAAACGTTCTGGAATTCCACGTTGTGTAAGGATGCCTTCAGAGCGATCATGACGGAGTTGTGTGTTGTTGAAGTGCAGCTGGCTGCGAGGGCAGGGATACCTGCAGGAGTGTTCAATGTGGTCCCCTGCTCCAGAGAGAAGACCCCCACAGTGGGGGAGGTCCTGTGCACTGATCCTCGGGTGGGAAAGATCTCTTTCACTGGCTCCACGGCCACTGGAAAGGTAAGTATCCACTTTGTCAGAAGCTTTCTGAGGGATGATGATGAGAAAAGATTTTTTGAGAAATAGAGACAGTAGTGCTCTGAATACCACCAAACAAAAGATATTAAATAGATAGACCTAAATAGTGAATAGAGGTTTAATGTCTAATGCTCTTATTCATTTGTTACAAACACAGCAGCATTTCAGAGCCTGCTTTTATTTAAGCACAAGGGCAGTAGCACAAAGAGGACTGTGGACTCCATACTGGTGAGACTCTTCACGTGCTCAGTAAATTTCCCTTCTGGATCCTTACAAAATAGGAGTGGTTAAAAATGATGTGGTAGATAAAAATTTTAAAAAGTCCAATAAGAAAACAGCCCTGCGTCCTTGTTCTGTAGAACAAGAAACAAAAATAAAGCCAGTTACTTCTGTTCTTGGTCTTTTATTTTTGTCATGTGGCAATGGTAAATTAAATATGGAGACAGAGACATTTCTCACAGAATTTGCCTTTTAATTCATTTAGTATAAACAGCTCAAGTGGCTCATTGTGAGACTTCTTACACACAAATACTTAATATTGGAGTGCCCACCTAACGTTTTGGGATTGCAAAGTCAAAACCTTTGTGTTTTTCAATCAGTAAATTGTAATTGTGATCATAAGAGTATGTGTATGATAATTTCAAAATTAATTTTTTGTATAATTCCCTGCAATTACAGACGATTAGCAGAAAAACATACTTTTCTTTTTCACAAAATACATTTCAGAGTGTAAAACTCCATTCAAGAATGCACTTAAATTTGTTTAGCATGTAAAATGCAATAAGATTTAAATGTGGGGGTCGGCTTGGAAATTATTTTTTCTTCCTTTTCATAGAATAAACCTACTGTGTATGTTCCTTTTTTAATAGTGATACACTGTCTAAACACTGCTAATTAGCAGTCTGTGTTTTCTTCCTGGGCAGATCCTTCTGAGGCATGCAGCTGGAACAGTGAAGAGAGTATCTATGGAACTGGGTGGCCTTGCCCCCTTCATCGTGTTTGATAGTGCCGATTTAGACCAGGCTGTGGCTGGAGCGATTGTCTCAAAGTTCAGAAATTCCGGGCAGGTGAGACTGCTGTAAGATGGGTTGAAAGCTGAGGACCCAGGAGTAAATCTGTGCTACTGATACACCAGAGCCCTGCTACAGCAGAATGTACAGAAATCGAATTTCTATATTTCAGGCAGTATTTGTGTAGCCCTTGATAAACCTTTAATTCAGCTCTCTTATGGTTTGCAATTACAATCTAATACAAAGGAGAAAACAACTTTGCTAAGACATATTTGAGAATTTAAGTACAGATTTGAAGATGAATGTAGCAGACAGGCATTTATCAAATGTTCAGTTAGTGGACACTTTAGACTATGAGTAGAGGATTCTGTGAAAGTAATGAGGAGGAGTAGTTAGGACTCTTGACTCATAATTGGACAGATTTGACTCCATATCCTGGGTGGGCAATGCTGTGGTACACTTGAGCAAGGTTCTTCCATCACATTCTTTAAATCTTCATGGACGTAATTTTGTTTTTATGTAAAGAGTACTCTCTTATAGTAGGAATGCATCCTTTAATAGAAAAGTATCTTAAATATTTCATGTTGTTAAAACAATATTTACGGGGAGTGGGATTTAGAAATCCTGACAGGTCTCTTTGGACCTATGTTAAATGTACCCATGTTGAATATCCTGTTATGAGTTTGTCAAATTATTCCGAGACAAAATGTGTACATATTGTTTTAATAGATAATTTTGTGTTTCCATTTTAACATTTTTCAAGGATGGTAAGTTATATGCATTTACAGAATAATGATTAAACTACAAACAATAACTTAATAGTTTAATGAAAAAAAAATTTATGGGTGGAGAAATGTTCTCTGTTCTTTTTTTAAATAATGCAAAATAAAATCCAATGTGGTCAAATTCAAAGCTGATATACTTCTCCTGTTGGTGGGACTTCAAGTTTCAACGGGACATAAAGGTTAAGTGAAACACCCAGCTGTAATTTATGTTGTCTTTGTGTCAGCTGAATATTAATTCAATTTTGGATGTCGTTAGTGCATGAATGTTATCGAGAAAAGATAACAGAAAGTGCACCATATTCTGCACTGTATTGACTCTTAACAAAAAAGTTATGTTGGTACTCTATTGTGCTGTCATAATCCTTGTGCTTTCAATGTACAGTAACAAGTCACTGGGGTTGTTGATACTGCTTAATTTCAACCCTTTAACCTTAATTTTTAGTTTTCTCTAAGGATCCTAATCCTGTCCAATTTGTATTCCTGAGACATGTAACTGTAACATCCACTTAGTAACATCCACTTGTGCTGTGTTTTCCCTTGATCTGTGTGTCTTAGACCTGTGTGTGCTCCAACCAATTCCTGGTGCAGAGTAAGATCCATGATGAGTTTTTGGAAAAGCTGGGGAGGGCCATGGACAGAGAGCTCCGACTGGGACATGGATTTGAGGAGCAGACCACACAGGGACCACTCATCAATGTCCGGGCAGCTGAGAAGGTACCTTACAGTGGCAGGAGCTTGTGAGCCCCACAGGGATGCACATTCCAATTACTGCTCACAAGCCTTGTGGAGCTGCGTTTGTGAAAGCTGCTCCAAAGCAAAACAATGTGTTCTTGTGTTGACTGGGAGATTAAAGATGTGGGATTCTGTTGGAAGAATTGATTGGTTCTTGAATAACATGTATAAGGAAGGCAGTGTAGAATCTGGCCTGTGCCAACTTCTTTTGCCAAATTGGGCTCTGGCCTTGACACAAAGTAGATGCTCAGGTAGAGACAATCACTAGCCACACTGGCAGTCTCTCTCATCACACTGTCTGGGGTTGTCAGGTGGAGAAACAGATTGAGGATGCTGTGACTCATGGGGCACGTGTGCTGAGAGGAGGGAAGCGTTTGGAAGGCTCCTTCATGGAGCCCACTCTGCTGTCCAGCGTCACCACGGACATGCTGTGTGTCAAAGAGGAGACGTTTGGGCCCCTTGTTCCTGTCATCAAGTGAGATTTTCATGAACTCTACAATTTCTAAATGTTTTTCAAATTTCTGTGACGGCAGATGGCACTGAAACCTTGTACCACAGTAGGCCAAGGACACTGGTCTATAGTTTATTAAGTGAGACAGCTCTGTTAAGCATTATTGTCTCTTATTTCTCAGAAACAAAAAACTAAGCAGAGGGTATCTTAAATGTGTGTTTTCAAATTTGGAGTTAGTCATCTCTTTAGGCTTGGACAACAGTGAGGTGGAGCATCTAAATCACGTGGCTGAATGCAAGCAGCATTCAGAACTAAAGGCAGGTAATTATCAGCCCCCTTCTGTCCTACATCAGAATACCTGAACTTCGCAAAGTGGGCTGAGTCAAGTGGTGTTCCTGATTAAAAATTCAACTGTGTTTTGTGTGAAGTACCAGAGAAATGAGCCAGTGACCAGTGCAGTTAGTTGTAGATCAGTTGATTGGTGCAAGTTGCAACTGCAAGAACCCCTGGAATTCAGAGATTTCTTTTAAATTAGAATGAAAGGACATTAAAAGGATCTTTAGGAAAGCATTGATTTCTGTGTATGTAAGTAACTATTACAACGGAAATAAAAAAGGAAGTTTTGAAAAATATTGTATGACATGGAAATGATGAAAACTTAATTTAATTAACTAAACAAGATTACAAATAACCACATTTTAGACCCACAAATTCTTTACTGTCAGTTTTGAAAGGTGAAATCTTCCTACGCCACCTGATTGAGATGAATTCACCTACAATACTTTCTTTCCTCCTAGTCTCATGCTAATGTTCATTGGACTTGTCTGACTATTTGGGAAAAATTAATGAGATTTCTGCTGGTTCATCTTATGACATGTTGCAGCTAATTATTGCTTTTTTTCTTGGATAGGTTTAACACTGAAGAAGAAGCAATCACAATCGCTAATTCCGCCTCTGTAGGTTTAGCAGGTAAGTTAGTTGTTTATGGGAATTTCCCTTAAAACTACACTAACCAGGCTTTGTGTGGCCGATGTTGTCCTCTGTAGCAACCAAGCTTCTATTTTTTTTTCAGTGAGAAGGTATATGTGATCAGCCAAAGAATATGTGCCGAAATTGTCACTTGTAGTCAAGGAAGTCTGTCGTGTCAGATAAGTCCGTCTTGTCTTGACAAATGAAGTGCTGCCACAAATCTTCCTGAGATCAGTTAGGAATTCTGTTTAGTCTCCTCATGGGCATGGAGGCCACATGCTGTTTTTTTCCTCCAGGTTTGTGGTGGAACTGTTGGGCCAAGTGAGAGGAGAGTAGCCTTCACGTTTCTGTTTTCACACTGGCAGGTTACTTCTACTCCAGAGACATCAGTCAGATCTGGCGGGTGGCGGAGCACTTGGAAGTGGGTATGGTGGGGGTGAACGAGGGCCTGTTATCAGCCCCAGAAGCCCCATTCGGTGGAGTCAAACAGTCTGGCCTGGGGAGAGAAGGATCCAAGTATGGAATTGACGAGTATATGGATGTTAAGTACATGTGCTTCGGTGGGCTGTCTGCTTAAATACTACTGTCAAGCCAGGTATTTCCCATGCTGTCTGATCAAGCATTCCATAACCGTTAACCTACGTTTTTAGAAAGGAATTCTATCAGCATCCTATCAGCAGACAGAGGTGGGAATCTTCATAGAGATGTTTCTGTATTGGTCTGACTCTGTAAACAGTAATTTGTGAAGAGAAGCTTTGTAATATTTACACAAAATCACAGGGGGTATAAGGGAATGTGCACTTTTTAATTTAGCACATTCAGATGTTTATAGCCTTTCATCTTATATTATTGGCATTAAAAATAACTTTCCTATTGCACCAGAAATTCTGAAGACTACTGATACAATATTCAAATAAAAAAGCCAGAGAGGATGCTTTGCTTCTTTCTGTACAGCTGAGGTTTAGAATGTTTTGTATTATTTAATTTAATGCATTTAGCACTGTTGTACCTTGGTCTCTGGAAAAGGTGTTCCATTGCTTAGTCAATGGAATTCGAATTGATCATTGTGGAAAGTAAAGAGTAGTGATAATTAAGTTATAAAACAAGAATCTGAGACAATTGCCTTCAAATGCAGTATGCTTTACAACACAAGTACAATGTCAGAAAGAAAAACCATAAGGGATGGTTCCTTTGAAAGCTGTTTCCCTGAAAGCACACAGGATCTGCGACTATAACACTATGATCGGAGTAGTGTCAAACATTATAATTGTTCACCTGGCTCATGAGCTCATCACCCAGTGCACTACAGACATTAAGGTTTTAGGGATTATTAGGGAAGATAATAGCAATTGGGCTTGTCAGCACACTTGCAAACATCCTATAGTTTTTTGATGGTTATAGGCTGTTACCTTAGTGGGACACGATATGAGCGTGGTTTTGTAGTTGCCCCTTTCTTCCTTATAAGCATGTGAGCAAGTGGAATCGAAAAGGCAGGACAGCAGGGCTGCAAGCTCACACTTTATCGACCTTAATAAATAACAGGTGTTTGCTAGTCACTGAGAGAGACTGACAGAGAACAGGAGAGTGTGTCCCAGCTGCAACGCAGAATGCTATAGTTCCTCCAACTGTTGGGGTACCTTAGAGTCCAGGGGTGGACTGGCAGTCTTCTCTGGCTTTGAGCATGATGAGGGACCCTGCAGAGGGTGGGACAGCAAAGGGCGACTCATCCACAATAACAGCCCTGTGGGAGTCTGGCGTGGTCTCGTCTGCAGTTGCGATTTCTGAGAAAAGCAGTTGGGGGTGCCTCGTTCTCAAGGAGGGGGAATTGAGCTGTGAGAATGCAATTCCCTCTTTCCTCTTATGGCTGCTTGTTCTTGATAGGGAGCTATCTGGTATCAGTGGAGTACAACAAAATGGTCCCATGGCAATTGGCAGAGACAGTAGCTGGCCTCACTCTCTATCTCAATAGTGAAAGGCCCAATCCACGTCTGTCCGTAAACCCAGACTTTCAGTCCTCAGTCTTGAGGACCCTTGTGGCATTACAGCCGTCTTCCACACCTTGTGTGATGTACTGTATCCCCAGTAGAAGGATAGGGGGAGTCAGTGGAGGGTCTTGGTAATTAATTAAAGGTATTTTTGTAGCCAAAGGCTTGGCTAGAACAAACCTAGCAGTTGTATAGTCCTCCGCATCCAGGATAAGGACCCTCTGTTCTAGAAGCTTCAAGAATGCCTCTTAGGAAAGGCTTGGTGTGACACAGAGATCACTTGAAAACGTGGATGTAGAAGAAGTGTTCAACAACCAAGATAAATTTAAGTTTGTAGTACAGTATTTAACTTACAGAATATACATTTTAAGTTGGTATTAAATTCCAGAATTGCAGAAAATAATGCAGCTTACTATTTTTAATGTGTTTATTTTATTAAATATATTTTAGTTAAATTGAGCATTAAGACTCTTGGCATGATCTGTTCACCTCTTCATATACATGTAGTTGTTTTCTAACAGTCTTCTTGTGGTATAGTGAAAAACAGCTTGAAGTATAACAGTTCCAGATATTGTAAGAAATTAGGGTTTACTCTTAAGATTTAGATATGAAAACCCTAAGAAACCCTTCCTGACGTGTCTCCCATTACTGTAAAACCTTCCTTAAAATTAATTAGAGCAAAGACTTTATCTGCAAATTAAAAATAGAAACTGCTTTCTAAATTGCCAAGATTGAGTATCACTGTTGCTACATCCAGGTCTAACACTGTGTCTGTCAGCAATATTGTTCTTAGTTATAAAGAGTTTTATTGTATAAAGTAAATTTGTATTTGTTGTATATATTTAATGTGGAGTAATAATAAAAAACAGTCCCAAGATTATCTTGTAGTAATGACATTTGTGCTCAATGTTGAGAACAAAGTTTCACACATACATTGAGAAGCAAGGTGGTTGTTGTGCACAGTTTAATATTCTAACAGCTTGTGTTCTGCTGTAACAGCTGTCAAAAGTTTAATTTCTTCACTGGACAAAATGGCAGTGAACATTACCAATTATTAATAAGCCTCAGTGTGGTGGAGACATTATTTAGCACTCATTCTTGCATTCTCTGGGAATTCAGACATGCATAAAAAGGCTTCTGTATCTTTGTTATTGTATCGAAAACAGAGATCATGAGCTCTACTCGGTTCATAGATAACATCAACAGTTAAAGAACTGAAGACAACTTCAATTAGACCATTAATTCATTAAATTCACAGGTAGAATAAAAACATGAAGAAAGACTCTGAGATCCTGCTCTCAACCATGGGGTGGTAGTGCAAATTGGCTGTCTCAGTGTCAAGATGTTTGTAGCACTGCATGTGCAAAGTGTGATGGATATTTAATAGCTTAGTTCAGTTAACTGATACAACAAAAACAAGAAGACAATTTAGTTGGTGCACTTAATTTCAAGATTATGTTCATGAAAGAACCATGTCATGAGACATAAGGTACTATATTTTTGACACAATTCTTCCTGTATTGGTTGATTATCCATTATTAACAGCAACCAGGGTAATCACAACCTTATACAAAAAGCTTGATTGAAGTTGATGTTCAGTTGCCACATGATTTGCTGCAGTTATAGGCATCAAAAGAGAAACATTTTTTCTTTTGTCATTAATAGTTAAAGAGAGAATTAGCTATATAATAATGACAGTTTCCTTTACATTATTCATATTATTAAAACGTTCCACACTAGTAAGATGAAAACATTTAATATCCATACACAAAATAAATGCTGTATCTGAAATTGATTGCAGACTGAAAAGGGTAAGATTTGCTAGACAAAATACAGTATCTTTCAGCTGCCAATGATAAATGCTGGATAATGTTGATACTGGTGAAGCTAGATAAATGCTTCTCAGCCATGGTTTTGCTTGACAAGATTTTTTCATTCTGTTTCGGCACTCAATCCTTGGCTTCAAATATGTTCCGGTGCCTGTGTTTTTTGTAATGATATGTACAGTAGCAAACATCTTTTCCTCAACTTGATTATTAAGCAATCACTGTCTTATTTCTATATAAACACTCTTAGCAGGCAACTAATGATGTCCAGATGCATATCAAATACTTCCAATAAAAATGACTTTGTGTTGAGAGGTCCAATTACTTATGTTCCACATAAGTCAACAGTGGTTTCATTGTTAATTGTAATTATGAACCCCACTGGGAACGCGTGTCTGAGGTCTGAGGCTTCAGGTAACAACTCTTAATTGCTTATTGACTTAATAGAAATAATGCAAATTCTTTAACTTAATGTTAGTGGTTGCCTTCTGACTATTGCATTTAAGAATTATCATATGATCTCAGCCCTTTTGAGTAGAAGAAACCCAAATGTTCAGTTGTTAATTTGGATAGTTAATTGTGGATTCAATTAAGTCGAGCTTAGCTGGAAACAAAAACCAGAAGGTGTGTGTCATGGGAAGCCCTGTCTAGGCCAAGAGTGTGCCTGCACGTTTTCCTTACAACTTAGCTCTTGATTAGCTAAACTAACTGACCTTGAAAACTTGCAGACACAGACCTCCAGGACCAGGGCTTCACCGTTTCTTTAAGTTGTAGGTGCACAGGGCAAGGTGCTGTCAGATTTTATAGGTCTCTAAAACTCCTAAAGAAATTCAACAAATAGAGTCCTATTATACTTATGACATGGCAGTAATTAAAATGCAACTTCCAGTGTGATAAAGAGCTGAAAACAAGGGGTTCAGCTGCGTTACTGAGGGCTTGGCTAGAATAAAAACCATCAGGTTTGTGGTCCTCTGGGTTGGGAACCTCTGACTTAAGTGACCAGCTGGGTTGTCGCTGGAAGAGACAGACTCACAAGACCCAAGACTGGGAACTCCATTTGTTGGCAGTTTTGCCATTAAGGTATCAGGACTTGTGTTGATCTCGCATCATTTTAATTCTCTGGAGTCTATTATATTTTAGATCTAACATTGCAATGTCTAGTTTTTAAAAAACTCAGCAAAATATTTTCTGGAATTCCCAAGTCACTAAACAGTAAAAGGTAATATTGCATACCAAATATTACCTGTATTGAGGCTGTAAAGAAACATGATATCCTGAAAACCAGACTGACTTTTAAAAATTATAAAAAGACAGAGACATGGTCAGAAATAGAGGGAACAACTATAGTTAGAAATTACCTGAAGCCCATAGTGACCAGCAGGAAGTCAATGAATACATTTCAAACAGCAGTTGATATACATACTAAAAGGGATCATATAATAAATAAAATCCAATGTCAAGATGCCAAAAACAGTTTCTCAAAACACTAAAATGTCACAAAACAGTGCAAACAGTTTTACAAGATCATGTGTTCCAACAGATGCCATTTTTGCAAAGTAATGCAGCAGTGGTGCTCAACTCTGTATCACATACTGCGATCCAGGTGTTCTACAGGTATCTTGAAGTTAACACCTGGAAGCACTGTTAAATTTCTTCAGTTCAGTTAGGTTATTAAGCATACAGTTGGAATGAGATGCTAAACACCATAAGCTGGAGCTAAGAACACCTGGGATACATGATGAGAATTATTTGTTGGGATTAACTGTATTTTCTAAAAACTAATTCTACTAGCATGTTTAATTTGTATTTTAGTCAAGAAAAAAGCTCAGTTTCTATACCACTTAGATTGTCAAATATATTGTAATTTGAACCATCATGCTAATTACTGGTAGTCAGTAGCTAGTAGCAAACTCTTAATCCACTTAAAGCACTGAGTTTAAATTTTACTCAGGTAATTTTAAACAGTTTTTAAAAAAATGTCCCTGCTACGTAGAGCTTTAAAATTCAGAATCCTGAAAGAATAAACATACTACATCTTGGAAGGTTTTCAGACCTATTTGGGAAAGCACGGAATGCCATATTTATAAAGCAGTTTGTGACCTTCCCAAGACTTAATTTGTTTACAGATCCCACAGACTGGCAGCTGGTGTGTTTCATGAAATATTCCAACAGATGCCATTTTGGCTTCTTGCTTATCTGTTTAGCACAAACTGAGAATCTTTAGGACTAAGCTGTTTTTGTATACTGCAACCCAGGAGTACATTCTGTAAAAACATCACTCTGTGTGTTCAGTCTTGTTTGAATAACAGAATTTTGAATACAAAATACAAAAACAACACATTTTAAGGATCAAGTAATATAAAAGTAAAACATTCCTTCATTAATATTTATATGAAAAGCAATGCATGCCAACAGACAGGTGTTTGCCATTATGTGGCCCTTGCCAATATTGAGTCCTTTAGAAATGTAAAACGAGCACTTTCAATTGATAAGGCATATTCATTCCAACTGCATAGTGCTGCACTTTTCTTCATACTTGTGATGGCTATAATCTATTCTCCTTCAGTAGCTGTCCCCAAGTTTAAAGATTTATCACTTGTAACAGGAATTGCTTTCTATTCAGACAAAAAAACAGAGCAAACACTGTCTCCCCCTGGTTGGCGGCATCTTGATTGAGCCATGAAATTATATATGAAAACATACTGTACTGAACTATTCTATATGCATGACACCTGTTCTTGGTGAGTCTGAAAATATAGCTAAACTAACTTTCACCCTTTCAAAAAGCAGTTGATGTGATGCCTTGATAATTATTATTGAGGTGTAATCACATGTTTTGGCCAGTGAACAACATGTTGTTGTGATTTCTGAATTGTCTATTGGTAGAAATGTACACCCTTTATCAATAAAATCAATAGAATGTGCTACTCATGTACTATAGGAGTACAAACACTAAAGCTCCAAAATGATTGAATGTGAGGCAATACAGTGCCTTGCGAAAGTATTCGGCCCCCTTGAACTTTTCAACCTTTTGCCACATTTCAGGCTTCAAACATAAAGATAAAATTTTTTTATTTTATGTGAAGAATCACCAACAAGTGGGACACAATTGTGAAGTGGAACGAAATCTATTGGATTTTTGAAACTTTTTTAACTAATAAAAAAATGAAAAGTGGGGCGTGCAAAATTATTCGGCCCCTTTACTTTCAGTGCAGCAAACTCACTCCAGAAGTTCAGCAAGGATCTCTGAATGATCCAATGTTGTCCTAAATGACTGATGGTGATAAATAGAATCCACCTGTGTGTAATCAAGTCTCTGTATAAATGCACCTGCTCTGTGATAGTCTCAAGGTTCTGTTGAAAGCGCAGAGAGCATCATGAAGACCAAGGAACACACCAGGCAGGTCCGTAATACTGTTGTGGAGAAGTTTAAAGCCGGATTTGGATACAAAAAGATTTCCCAAGCTTCAAACATCCCAAGGAGCACTGTGCAAGCGATCATCTTGAAATGGAAGGAGTATCAGACCACTGCAAATCTACCAAGACCTGGCTGTCCCTCTAAACTTTCAGCTCAGACAAGGAGAAGACTGATCAGAGATGCATCCAAGAGGCCCATGATCACTCTGGATGAACTGCAGAGAACTACAGCTGAGGTGGGAGAGTCTGTCCATAGGACAACAATCAGTCTTACACTGCACAAATCTGGCCTTTATGGAAGAGTGGCAAGAAGAAAGCCATTTCTCAAAGATATCCATAAAAAGTCTCGTCTAAAGTTTGCCACAAGCCACCTGGGAGACACCCCAAACATGTGGAAGAAGGTGCTCTGGTCAGATGAAACCAAAATCGAACTTTTTGGCCACAATGCAAAACGATATGTTTGGCGTAAAAGCAACACAGCTCATCACCCTCAACACACCATCCCCACTGTCAAACATGGTGGTGGCAGCATCATGGTTTGGGCCTGCTTTTCTTCAGCAGGGACAGGGAAGATGGTTAAAATTGAGGGGAAGATGGATGCAGCCAAATACAGGACCATTCTGGATGAAAACCTGTTGGAGTCTGCAAAAGACCTGAAACTGGGACGGAGATTTATCTTCCAACAAGACAATGATCCCAAACATACAGCAAAATCTACAAAGGAATGGTTCACAAATAAACGTATCCAGGTGTTTGAATGGCCAAGTCAAAGTCCAGACCTGAATCCAATCGAGAATCTGTGGAAAGAGCTGAAAACTGCTGTTCACAAACGCTCTCCATCCAACCTCACTGAGCTCGAGCTGTTTTGCAAGGAAGAATGGGCAAGAATTTCAGTCTCTCGATGTGCAAAACTGATAGAGACATACCCCAAGCGACTTGCAGCTGTAATCGCAGCAAAAGGTGGCTCTACAAAGTATTAACGCAATACCGAATAATTTTGCACGCCCCACTTTTCATTTTTTTATTAGTTAAAAAAGTTTCAAAAATCCAATAGATTTCGTTCCACTTCACAATTGTGTCCCACTTGTTGGTGATTCTTCACATAAAATAAAAAATTTATATCTTTATGTTTGAAGCCTGAAATGTGGCAAAAGGTTGAAAAGTTCAAGGGGGCCGAATACTTTCGCAAGGCACTGTAGGTGCTCAATTCTTGTTTTCATCATTATGAAATTGCAGTGTTATTCATAGATGTCAAAACAACGTAGCTTACTGCTAGGGAGGGAATAAAACCTGTATAATGTAGAGCTAAAAAGGATTAAACTTAATGTAGCATTAAGCCTCTTGAAGACTGCATTTTCCAAATATAAGTTTTTTTTTAAAACATGGAATCAAAAACAAGAAGTAATTATATAAATAATTATCTACATTCACCTGTCTTTTTTTCTACACATGATCAGAGTTTGAAGGCTCATCCTAAAATGAACCTTTTTTTGACCAAACTGAGGCAGATTCCTGCTTGTTCCTGCACTTCTTGTTCATCCCATCAGCTAGGAGGGAACCATGTTTAAACATTCAGAAAGCGTGCCTCAAGGTTGGCATTTAAATAAAAGTCACTGTATATCAGGATCTCCTCTGTTTGCCAGGTATTTCAAGCTCCTCAAGAGTTCATCTGTCCTCAGGATGGAAGCTGAAGACATCTCCGTTCTGAGCAGAGCCATTGGAACTGTTCTTCATCTTCTCCTTGTCAACCTTTTCCCGAGTAAAGATCGTGTCCTGCTCGCTTTCAAACTCCGATTCTGAGATCATCAGGCTGGAGTTATGCTCTGTGCTCCTGTGTTTTATGTCTGGGAATGACAAAAATATCCTCAACTGTTCTTTAAGTCTAGATTAAATTTGGGGACCAAAATAACCCTCTCAGTTCTCAAATACAATTGTTTGGGGTAAGTGGTCACTTTTCAAAAAGAAGTGATTTTTAAAAGTTGGAAACATTTCATCACAAAGGGAAATTAAATTACTACAATGTTAGACATTTTCTAAACTGATAGTGACATTTGGGCGGCACGGTGGCACAGTTGTTAGCATTGCTGCCTTGCAGAGTTTGGGCCCTGGGCCTAATTCCTGGGGTGGTATAAGTGTGTTTGTATGTTCTGCTCGTGTTCATGTGGGTTTCTGCCAGGTCTCCATTTTTCCAAAGACAAGCTGGTAGGTTAATTACCAGCTTGTCTTTAGAGTATGAAATCAGGCCCAAACCTAAACACATAAATATGTCATATAAACATGGAAACATTGTAAACATAGAGGTGAATGGGAATCAATTTCAGTCTCAGAACACAACACTAAAATAGAGAGTTTTCTATCTTGAGGATTTCACATAATACAACAAAGACACCAAACTGTCTTGTATAAATTTCCTGTATTCTTTTCAGCCTTTAGATTACCTGGACAGAATCTGGTTCCCAGCCTGATTAAGAAAATGAGCTTCCACACCTTTCATCTTGCTCCTTTCATCTCTTCTGACTCCGCACCCTTCTTTGTTCTCTGTTTATGCTGCTGTCCATTTTTCTCCTATGGAGACTGGCACAATAACTTCCTAGGGAATGGTCCAGCAATGCTGAATGTTTATTTTGTAAATGGTTTTATTAATGATTTACTGTTAAATTCATTGACAGGAGTAAAGTTTTTGGGTCACTCTTTGATCATCTGTGTCCTCTCACATGTTTACTTGCCTCTTAATCTTCCTAGGGAATGGTCCAGCAATGCTAAATGTTTATTTTTTAAATGGTGTTATTAATGATTTACTGTTAAATTCATTGACAGGAGTAAATTTTTGGGGTCACTCTTTGATCATCTGTGTCTTCTCATATGTTTACTTGCCTCTTAATCTACAGAAAGATAGGTAAATACTGCCAAAGACACTTTGCTCCAAACTTTGTGAGAAGGGCAGTCTAGCTGGAAAGTGCAAACATTGCTTAACTATACGACCCCCGAGTTACAACAACATTATAATAGTATGTACTTTTATGACATTCAAAGCATAGCCATTGTTGTATATAAGCTTTTCCATCCATGCATTTATTATCAGAAAGCCACCTATTTCTGGTAAGTGTGGCTACAGCTCAGAGCCTTCCTACAAACATAGTGTGCAAGGGGGGACCACTTCTAAACTGGGATACAGGTACATTTCAGTACATTGCAGGGCACACAGGGATCATTATGGGAAGCTGGGAGGAAAGTGGAACATCTGGTAAAAATGCACGGAAACATGGAGAGCACATACAAACTCCCATAGCAAACACCCCAGTCCAGAACTGAAAAAAAGCGTTTGTGTGATTAATTTTGACATAATTCCATGTATTTACATTTGCCATTTATCTTCCATTAATTAACACACAGCCCCAGTCTGCCTACAACATTAGAGATATTTGCTGTACTGCATCACCGACTCACATTAATTAGTTGCTTACACTTATATAGTGCTTTTCTGGACACTCCACTCAAAGCGCTTTACAGGTAATGATGACTCCCCTCCACCACCACCAATGTGCAGCATCCACCTAAGTGGATTAATTAAGCATGAACTAAATGACAGTATTTACTTGTCAGGAAATGACAGAAATGAAGCTAAATGTTTCCCAAACTCACTGTATTTGGGCCTCAGCACCATCCTCTCCTGCTCGTCGATGTTATCCAGAATTGTGTATTTGGTTTTCTTCCTTACTTTAGTTCGTCTCCTAATCCAAATTTAAGAGTAACATTATTAATTTATTACAACACTCGACCACTTCTTGCCATGCAGTTCACTTTACGGAAGTAATTCCTTGTCAGTTAAGACCTAAGAACATGATGAAGGCCTTCGGGATGCAATTTTAGTTTTTATCTACTAATACATTTTAGATAGTCAAATTTTCATCAAACTTAATAGCTCACATTGCTTACTAAAGAAACATACAACGAATTTAGTTTTAAATACCAGTGTATTTCCAGGTGGTGCTACACAAAAAATAACTTTGGGGACTCATACTTGCTGGTTTTTCTTTCAGTTGAGCTTTCAGTTTTATAAGCAAATAATTGATCTTAAAACAGGATCAATCTGAATGTGTTGTTTTCAGTTCTTCAACATGTGGGAGTATGCCATTTTAAATGATTAAGTTTCATAAGTATTTTGGATTAGATAAACTAATAAAAGGTTCCAATCAAGAAACCTGCTAGCTCATACGGAAAACCAGCAAGTGTGTTGCACATTACTATATTAATATTTACTACCATAATAATGCCTTGCTATATGACCTTTCGTTTATACGAGATGTCGTCATTATTGTTTTTTTCATTTAACAGGCAGATTTTCACTCTTAAGAGAAGGACTCTCATAAAGCATTGTTTTAAGCATTTAGTACCTTCTAAGATGAGGTATTTACCTTTTATTTTTTACTTACATTTTAACTTTTCTAATAATGGCTTGTGTGTGCTAAGTGCATACAGTAAAGGATAAATATCCAAATGTATATGCATTAGCTAACTACTGTAACAATGTAACTACTGTACTGTAAATGACCAGGGGTGTTTTTGTTGTCCTCCCTATTGCTTATGTCTCGGCTAATTACTTCAATCATGTTATTCAAATAATTAGGAATGTTATTTTTTTATATTTGGGCACTTGGGTGAACAGTTTTTGAGTTGTGGAACCAAAAGGAGATTACAAAATGGGAGTAATGGGTTTTGACCAGCAGTTTTCAAGGAATAAATGAACTTTATATAACAATTTATTACGAGTATGGATATTTACTACTAGTCATTATATCTGGTCAGCTGTGTCACACAGCTAAAAAAGTTGAGTTTCTTTACTTCTGTTTCCAGCATGGAATAAACCTTTACTTGCTCCATTATGTCCAGTCTGTTGTTTCCATTGTTCCATTGTTTATGGAACAATGCCCTCTGCTGGCAGGGGTACTCTCTCACATGTATCGCTGTATTGTGTAATAATGCTGAAAATAATAAGAAAGCTGACTGGTAACAACTTAATAGGCAACTTGTGCAACTAGTGTGTTTTGTAAGTAGGAAGATCTTAGCCACATGGGTTATACACATTTTTCACATTATGTTGCTGCAGATTCCGAATTTGAAATAGACTGAAGTAGAATTTTTCGGCACAAAGTACTTAGTACCATGTCAAAATAAAGTAAATGTTCCAAAACATTTCCACAATTTACTAAAAATGAAAAACAGAAATGATTATATTTAAAAAGTATTTATACCCCTTGTAATTGCAAGCTCAATTTTGCACAGGTGCAATACATTACTTTAAAAGTCACACAATTTGTTGGTTGACTACATTTGTGTAAGAATTTAGTGGATCACCTGTTGTCAATACGTTTGTAAATATAAATACCTCTCTCTCTATGAGATCGTACAGCATGGGTGGAGACTTTAAAAAAAACACTCAAAATGAAGACGAAAGAGCATTCCGAACAAGTCAGAGATGTGGTTATAGAAAGGCACAAAACAAGACCATTGCCAAGGCACTGAACATCCCTGGAAGGTCAGTGCAGTCCATTGGACAGAAGTGGAAGAAGTATGGAACTACAGCCATTCCGCCTAGATCAGGCCGCCCCACTAAACTTAGTTAACAGACAAGAAGGGCACTTATCAGGGACGCTACTGCAAGGCCAACTGTGTCATTGAAAGGGCTACAGAAGTCAGTGATGGAAGATAATGTACATGGGTCAACAATCTCCAGGGCATTCCACTAAAAGGAGTTTTATGGGAGGGCTGTAAAATGCCATCTAGCAGATACAGCAGAGATGTAGCAAAAATTATTGTGGTCTGACGAAACTAAAGTGAAACTTTCTGGCCTGAATGCTAAACAGTATTTATGGCACAAGTCAAACACTGCACACCAGCCAGGTAACACCATCCCCACCTTAACATATGGCAGTGGTAGCATGTTATGAGGATGCTTTCAGCGTCAGGGACTGGCAGTCTTGCCAGGATCAATGGGAAGATGAACGGTGCATATCGCAGACAAATCCTAGACAAAAACCTGCTGCCCTCTGCCAAAAAGCTCAATCTGGGGAGGAGGTTTATCTTGTGATAGGACAATGATCCAAAGCACTCTGCAAGAGCAACACTGCAGTGGCTTACATGAAGAAAATAGATGCCCTTGAATGTCCCAGTCAGTCCTGACTTTAATCCCATCGTAAAGCTGAGGCAAGACATAACAATTGCTGTCAATTGCCTCTCCCCAACTAACCTGACCCAATTTGAGCAACTTTGCAAGTAGGAATAGGGTAAATATTGTTCCATATCGGTGTAAAATTCAAAAAGAATACTGGCTGCAATAGTAATCACAAAGGAAGATGAATACTCAGGTTTTTATTTTTAATTCATTTATGGTTTACTATTATTTTTCTTTTATGGGGGTACTCTCTGAAGATCAGTGTGTGACTCACAAATAAAAATTCCCATTCTAAAAAAAATAAAATTGCAGGCCATGAGATTCTTAAGTGTGGAAAAAGGTAAGGGGGCGGTACTTTTTCAAGGCACAGCATTCTCATATTTGAGTTTATTAGCAGCATTGTCCTTCGCTTTAAGAACAAATATTTGCAAATGTAAACATTTGTGTATTCAATAATGAAGTGACATCTCTTTATCAGGCATATAACCCTTGATCAGCCTCAGGACAACTTTTTAAGGCCCCACAAATCAAGAAGATTGGAAAAGAGATGGGTACCTTTTACAGCAGCAGACACAGGCCCAGCTCAGGCCCATGATGAGGATAACCATCACGAATGAGGTGATGATGACATACAACACGCTCCACTCTGCACACCAGGAAGAGAGAGAACATGATACTCAAGGTCTGAACAACACTTTGTTTTGTCTCACAGTGTTAAAGTGTGTTCATCCTTTGCAAATAATTTAGTATTTGTTTCCAACAGAGCAGGATTCTTCAATTAACCTAATGGGCCCTACATTAATTGGGCACTTTGAGATAAATTAACATTTAAGGTGAGCTATGATCTTTAGGTAAACTGGCCCTGTCTTGTATGAAATTAACATGAAATAAATTAAATCAAAACAAAAGTCATCATTTTACATGGAACATGTCTTTAGTTTCCAATTATTTTTTATGTCCGCAAAATTTGGAAACACTTCGTCTCAACTCACAGCAACGACTCCTGTACCCACTTAAGGAGAATGAAGAAGGGCAGACAGGCTCCTTTCATCTGCTCTCATTTCAAGCCATTCATCCTATGATATGGTGCAAACTGTACAGTGACAATTGGAGGTTTGGCATGTTGCTTAAAGATGTCACTGCTCGCCTGCAGGGTGCCAGGACATCAGAAGGATGGCTATTTCACTGAGCAGAGCGAGCACTGCCTGAAAAACCCCAACCCTCCAACCCTGCCACTGGTGGTGTTGAGCCTATTGTGCACCATCGCTTGGGAAATCCTGCTCAAGGCTGGTTGATAACCTGGGAAACATGTTTTCTTTTTATGTATAAAAAAGACAAAAACGTTATATTTAAGAGAGAATATAAGGTGGGAGACAATTAAAAGGATGTGTTTTTGTTGCAGGTTTATCCTTGAGGATGTTAATCCTTATAGAGAGTTATCACGCTCAATTTGAACATAATTTTTTATTTTACTATTGTGTACCACATGCATTTATTTTACATTGCCCTGGGTTCCAAAGGCTTGTATCTCACTTTTTCATACCTCTCTAGACTTCAGCAATGTGCTTGTCATTGATCTTTTTTTGAGCTGTAACAGAGTTTAACTGTTCTGCACTGCAGTTTGCTTTTGCAGACTTCACAGATCCTTCACAGAACACACCACAGAAACAGAAAACTCAGAACTCACCACAGTTGCTCTCTCCATCATTGAAGTACCGGTGAACTGGATTCTCCACCCAGAAGGGGTCGCAGACGCAGTGCTTGGTGATGGGATCACACTGTCCATGCTCAGAACAGCGCAGCAGACACACTGCAAGATCACACATCAACACAGCTGTTTTTCTTGTTGCCTTATTATGACAAATCTTGAATATACACTTATTTCAAGCTTGACAATACCTTGCTCCTCCATTGCACCAATTTAATTTTTTTCTTTCAATAAAATCTAGACCTTTAAAGCATCTTCATGGGCTGTAGTTCTTCACGTAAGATTGCTGATCTTATCCAGGAGAGTTTCTTTATCTACATTCCAGATAAGAATAAAAACTGCTGCTAAAAAAACGTGACTAAATATCTTTAGCTTTTTTTACCCCAAAATCTTCTTCCTCATTAGGCAAAGCAAAGATATGATCTGGTTCAGTGAATATAATTTCAGAATGCACCATCTTCTTGTAATAATAATAATTATAATTTCTTACACTTATATAGTGTTTTTCTGGACACTCCACTCAAAGTGCTTTACAGGTAATGGGGACTCCCCTCCACCACCACCAATGTGCAGCCCAAACTGGGTGATGCGACGGCAGCCATAGTGCGCCAGAACGCTCAACACACATCAGCTATCAGTGGGGAGGAGAACAGAGTAATGAAGCCAATTCATAGAGGGGGATTATTAGGAGGCCATGATTGGTAAGGGCCAATGGGAAATTTGGCCAGGACACCAGGGTTACACCCCTACTCTTTTTGAGAAATGCCCTGGGATTTTTAATGAACACAGAGAGTCAGAACCTCTGTTTTACGTCTCATCTGAAGGATGGCACCTTTTTTTTTACAGTACAGTGTCCCCGTCCCTATTCTGGAGCATTAGGACCCACATAGGCAGCAGGGAGAGTGCCCCCTGCTGGCCACACTAATACCTCTTCCAGCAGCAACCTTAGGTTTTCCCAGGAGGTCTCCCATCCAGGTACTGACCAGGCTCACACCTGCTTCACTTCAGTGGGTTGACAGTTGTGAGTTGCAGGGTGATATGGCTGCTGGCTACAATACAATTAAGTCTTCTTATTTAGAAAACCGAATGATCACTGTTATAAAATATGAACTAGTCTTAGAGCCTGGAGTAGTTACAGTTGGTCCTAGTTAAGGCTCCTACTGTATGTGAAATAGCCGCAGGAGTGCGGTGTGTGGCTCACCAGCTGTATCCACCCTCAGGACCCGGAACAGCAGGAAGTCAGACTTCTCCTTTAGGAGCTGGCCTCGCAGTGTGCGTGTTAACTGGGGGCCTTGCAGGATGCCTTCTCTGCCCCGCACGTAAAACGACATCACTGTGCTGAACAGCGACACCCGAGAAGCAGGGTTACTTAAACACTTAAACATAACTCAAAGCCTTCAGTGCCTTGTACAAGTTTCAGACCCTTGCACATTGCTTTAAAGCAGGCAGTCATGACACTTTGAAGTTAATTAATTTTTGCAATTCATATTTGTAATATAAACAATCTTCACCACACATTAAAAACAAAAAACAGAAAAAATAAGTATATATTTAAGAAATATGAAAGAATAATGGGAACATCTTGGTATTGTAAGTACCCAAACAGTTGGCTGTGGCAAATATAAATTTAGGTAAACAAAATTACCACAACAAGATCCAGAATTTGTTGAGTGGACTCAGTTTGTATTCCATTGTAGTTGTTCACTTGATTTCATAATAAATAGATCTGCAGGATTTCAGGTAAAACATTCAAGGAGCTTTCAAAAGAACTCAGGGATAAGGTTGTACAAAGGCACAGAACAGGAAAAAGGTAGAAAAACATTTAAAATATCCTTAGATCCACTTTTAGCATGGTGATTTATTTAAGAAATTTATTTTTTAAGAAATGGAAGGTACCCTGATACTGCCTAAATCATTCTATCCCACCAAACTGTGCAACCAGGTAAGGATAAAAGGCAGTGTTCAGTAATGAGATAGGAGAAAGTATTCATGGGTTAAAAATATTCCTGTCACTCCACAAACAGGCTTGTATGGAACTGAAAAAGCACCTCAGATCCCTCATGTGGTTTACAACAAAGCACCTACGTGATTCTAAAAATCTGTGTTTTACTATCAGAAAATAAAAAAATGGTTCCATTTTTGTCAAAAAGAAAAGTGCAAAACCCAATAGCACTTAGTCAACAACATTCTTCTGTCAAGCATAGTGGTGGGAGCATTATGTTATAGTTCTGCTACTCATCAACAGGGACTGGAAAGATTGTCAAGACTGAAAGGATCAACAGATTGAGAAAATTACTGGTACATTTAAGAGAAAAACCTACTTCAGATCTAAAATTGGGAAAACTACTTTCATGCAAACAATTATCTAAAGCTACAATGGAATAGCTTAAGAATAAGAAAGGGACATGTGTTCAAATACTTGATGACTGTTGTCCATAAGCTGCCCATAAGCAAACCCCAAGTGACCTGAAAGAGCTTAAAAAATCTGCAAAGCGGAATGGGCAAAAAATTGCACCAATCTTGTGTGCAAAAGCTGGTAGACATTTAGTCAAAATGATTTCTGCTGCCAAAGGTGCCTCTGTCAAAAAGTCTAAATACACAATTAACATATTTCAGTTATCTTAATTTTTGCTGACATTTACTGTATACTGTCTTTCCCCAAGAAGTCTTCAGTTTGAGCATTCGGGTTTTTAATAAAATTTTAGGTTTAAAAAAATTGTGTATACAACATTTTGTAATTTCACAGAATGGAAAACCATAGGAATGGACAACCTTCAGTTGTGCTGCTCTGTCTTTTATCTGTTCCAGTGCTCTACTCAGTTGCTCTTGCTTTAAAAGCAACATCTCCCTCTGCTTCTCACTTTCTAGTCTGGTTAATTCTAATTTGCTCTGAAGGTTAGCCATCTTTACACACCACTCCTGCTTCTTTTGTAGGCTAATCTAGAGCCCATGCTGTTAGTGAAACCTAAATTAGTTTCTAGAAGATCATTCAGGACTTTCCAGCCAGTAACCTCTTCTACTACTCAGACCCTGTCTTCAAGCTTGTCCAAATTGATCTCCAGTTACTGTGGTGGCCTCCTGGTCTTCTGATGTGCTTTGCTTAGTCTGCAATTCAAACATAATGTTTGAATTCAAATAATGTTTAGTTGTTTGGCCTGTCATTGACTATCTCCACTCCACGATGATCTGCTCCTTCTCCAGCTCTTCTATCACTGAAAGATTTTAGCTTCCAGATGACATTGTCTATGTCTGTCATTTGTGCCTACTTTTTTTCTCTAATGTTACTCATTAGCATTCCAATACACTTGTTGTATATGGCAAATAAAGAAATCTTGAATCTTGCTAATCATCTCTCAGAGCTAACTTTCCCAAAATGTTGCTGGCCAGCTCATAGGCCAGTTTTTCCTTCTCTGCCTCAGTCTGCTGCTCTCGGGTACTCCTGTAACTGCATGAGCCCAGCCTGAAGGCTTTTGACATTCTTCTCTTGAAGTAGTTTACTCAAGTCTGTATTATTCTTACTTATCTGGGTTGAGCCCCAGTTCACAGCTGAGGATTTCTTTTCCTTGGTAGAACCCATCTGGCTCACTATTTTTACTCTATTTCTTCTCTTCAGAGCTCACTAGGACCAAAGGTCTCACCATTTTCAGATCCACATGCTTGTGTTACATCTCTCGTTCCCAGCAGCATCTTCTTTCTGCTCTCCTTCTGATAAGGACAGTCTTGTGCTTTGTGTTCATACTCCATGCAAGATTAAATTAAAAACTGAATCATCACTATAGTGAAGTAGTAAAAAACCAGGAGCCAATTAGATAGATTAGAGATCCATGGTTCTCAAAATGTGGGACGTAGAGCACCCCAAGGTGGTACGCCAGATGACCCTTGAAATTTGTTGTGTGCACTGAAAAATTGTGAGGGGTTTTCATATTTTCTATTTAATAAAATTAGTTTATATGTCAAATACGCAGCCTACGTACTTAGCTGCAACGATACAGTGAGCGCTAATAGTGGACACAAGATCTACTGTGTAATTGTATACCATTGTATAGGAATGGGTGCTACAAACCTACAGTATGTGACCAATTGTATTAAAAGGAGTTATCTTTAGCAAATAGTGAGTTAGGAGAATGTGCGTGATTTTGGGACACTGCCAATCATGTAATCACAGGAAAGCGTGATAGATAACAGAAAAATCTGTAAGGTCTGTTCTAGGTTTTGAGAAAAATACACCGAGCATCTCCGTGTTTCGCACCTATGCGCATGAAACAAAAAGTTCTTTTAACTTCTGAGACGGACTCCTGACTGTCCTTTGTGGGAAAACGGGGAAAAATGCAAGTTTGCGGACTGCTAAAGCGGGTAAGCCCCAAACTATTGGTGAAGAACTTTGTTTACCATTGGCAAAAGAACTGACACGTATTATATGTGGAGAAAAAGCTGCTAAACAGCTTGACCTTCTGCTCCCTTCAAATGACACAGTCACTCGTAGAATTTTTATATGGCAGGTGATGTCAAATGTACATTGATAGAGCGCGTTAAGATGAGCATATGCTGTTCACTGCAATTAGATGAGTCTGTAGATGTTGTTGATTTGGCCAATTTGCTCATTTACATTAGATATGAGTTTGAGGACATGTCCCATGAGGACTTTTTGTTCTGTAAGCCGCTACCAACAAGGACTACAGGAGAGCAAATATTTCAGCTTCTGAATGAATTTATTGAAGAGAGTGGCATAGACTGAAAAAAATACTTTGGAGTTTGTACAGATGGTGCTAGAGTGAAACTGGAGTATTTTCCAGTTGAGGCAACAACAGAGTGGATCAGGAACTCCTTTACTGTTGATGTCATAGGAATACGGTCATGGGCGTCCAAAGGGACTAACCGTGGGGAGCAGGAGAGCAAAAAAGACCCATATGCGTAGCGGCAAGACGGGAAAAAGGCCCGGGCTCATTAGTGCAAAGAGTTCAGGAATGCCGTATAGAAACCTATGCCCTCAGGGAGCGGACGTGGGGCGCCCTGGTGCTAGGCGGGTCTCAGGACATCCGAACGTCAATGCTGAGCGAGGACAGAGTGCAAGACCCGGAAATATATAGCCCAAGGAAGAGAGGGACAGGAAGGACAGCAGACCGGAAACTAAGGACAGGACAGAGAAGGAGCGCCCTCTGGCTGCAGAGGGCGTGACAAATACCCAAGGATCTGACCTGTGCTGAACAAGAGAAATTGCTCGAGTTATAATCCGATGCAACTTTGATGACAGAATTGAAACGACAGTCACTGTTGGAGTTCTGGTTCCAAAGACATATACAGCCCTCTCATTAAAGGTTGTGCCGTTTTTGATGCCTTTTGCTACTATGTACCTTTGTGAGAAAGGCTTCTCTGCTCTCACTGCAATCAAGACAAAGAACCAGAAGAAAATGGATGCTGAACCAGATCTGCGTTTGAAGCTCACTGCCCTCGTCCGACATTGCAAGGCTTTGCTTGACTAAACAGGTTCACCCCTCTCACTGAAATGGTAAGTGCTCAGTGCTATTTTTATTATATATGTGTGCACACACACACTCATTTGGTCATTGAGCTTTTCTGTGGTTCCAATGAGAAGATGACTTGTAGGTGGTACTTGGATGCTTTATTTTGATCAGGGGTGGTACTTGGTCCAAAAAATTTGAGACCACTGAGATAGATTGATCTACATAGTCTTACTATCTCCACCAAAACACCTAGAGTAGAGTATGCTATTCTATACTTAGCCTTATTTAATACTGAGTATATATATCATAAAGGCTGCAGTAAACAATGATTTTATTGTAGACAATAGTTTTGGGTATTTATTCTTTAAATTGAAACTGGATGGTATTAATGATAATATCTCCCTTGAATTATACCTTTATCTAGGAAGCATAGTCAGCAGGTTGCGAGGATGGACCTGCTAGCATATTTAGTCTCCTAAAAACCTAAAACTTTAATTCAATTTCACCTTTCAGAGGGATGATTGGCCAAAGCACAAGTCCAAAGCTCCAAAGCTTAAGAGTTGGCTTAACAAAGCGAAAGTGAATGTCCTTGAGTGGTCTATTTATAGTCCTGTCTTGAATCTGGTAGAAAATCAGTGGCAGTATCTTAAAATTACTGCCCATCTACGATTCAAAGCTAACTTGACCAAGTTTGAGCACGTTTTCAAAGAATGGCTGAAAATTGCACCACCCAGGTGCAAAATTTATCAATATATTTAGACCAAACCATTTAAATTTTCTCTCAGTTGACCAAAAAACTTTTTGCCACAAGTATTACTGAAATGCTTTGTAGTACACTCCATTTGGGATCTGAGGTGGAATGGGGTGAGTATAAGACAACGAAAGGCACTGTATGTGACATGATGGTTTAAAATGAAACAAATCCTGACTGCAGACTCCTGTCATCCCCTCATTGACTGCAACAGATGAAAGACAACATGCATAGGTAAAGCACAGAGTGAATCATGTGAACCTGCAGTATCTGGTAAAGACTTGATACAGTCTGACGTGTACCTGAGCTCAGTCTGTGCCTGCACTTTCTGCACGATGATGTCAGAGTCCAGCACATTGAGAAGCACGGCCAGCTGTCTCACTACAGTGTCCTTCTGCTGCTGGTTCAGCTGGCTCACACCCACATATAGTTCCAGCTCCACCTCGTCCTTTCTGTGGGGGTCTAGAGGCAGAGCACATCAAGGGCTATTCTGTTCATTTATGAGGAATTTTCAAAGGATACACATAATAAAGAATCACCAATTATTTTAGTTATATCCACCAAACTGGAACAGCCAATTGTGTCATTCACATTTTTCTTGGGGGAGAATGAGCAAGTGTAGGCAGACAGTTGTACAGGACAGGTCTTGTATAGGACGATCAGTGAGAGTTGTAGGAGAGATTAGTCCCCTACAAACAGCACCACTTGTCTGTAAGTGCTCCAGAAGCTGCAGGAGGGTTGATGTGTCGCTGAGAACTGTGACAATTCTCACAACACCCTCAGTTTCACTCACGCGGCGTTGTGCACTCATCATTGTGCCTTGCTGCTTGGAAAATACTGGCCACAATTTACTAGTGAGATAACTCAAGCTTGAAGCTATGATAATAAGAACCCAGCCTATGCTAGGGCAAGGTCTTTTTCCCAGTTAAGCTACTCTGGAGGCCACTGGAGGCAAACTGTTGATGGGTCCTATTATAGAATCATTTTTTACCCTGACCAAATATGACAGGAAATCAGCCTGTGATAATGTGTCATTCATGACTGTGAATATTTGTGAAGAATTTAAGATTATTCAGCCTTCTTTGCGGTTTGGCATAAATTATGGCACTTTCTTGTGACTGACAACACAGCAGATGAAACAGCTAGGCTGATACCTTTTAGAGCGGGAATGTTTCAAAACCAGAGTAGGCCAAAATGGCTTATATGATACTGTATGATCATATGATTATGATATTTGAATTTACTAATTTACATTTTTTACTAACTAATTTAAATTTTAAGTTACTTTGTTGTAATGTTATTGACACTGGTGGCATGAAAGTGCAGTGACAGTGTTTAAGAAGTTCAAGTAGGTACTGTAAGTGCGTCAGCCTGTGCAGGCTGCAAAGAACAGATAAAGGTTTATTCCATGCAAAAGGGAAAAGAAAAGAGACACAACATTTCAGCTGTGCTTTTCCTTTCAGTATGGAATAAACCTTTACCTGTTCCTCCTTAAAGTGTTAGTGCAGATCATAGTTAAGTGCTTTGTTACTTCTGTTGCCACTCATACGTCCAACCCATCTACTGCAACTTACTGAGAAGAGTGTTACGAAGCCCATAGAGTAAAGAGTTGCAGAAATTAAGCCTTGATGTTATAAATGCATCAGGCACTCCGCATTGGACATTCAGCTGAAATAGCTCCGTGAAGTTGCCCCCCCTACACACAGCACAAATTATGAAACCCACCACATTCATTAGTGATGTGTTTGTGCCCGTTTGTGCCATTGAAAGAAGTGTTTGAACAGAAATTTTACTGGTGCGCAGAAAATGTCAGCAGGAAAAGCTCCGGGGGTTCACAGTAATGGCTTCCCCATTCACCCATCAGCCGTAGTCAGGAATCTGGGAGTTGCACTTGATCCTCTCTTGTCATGTCAGCCTCACATGAACTAGTTATAAGTTTTTTTCACCTTAGAAATTATTACACATTATAGAGATAGCTCTATCAGCTCCGTGAAGTTGTCCCCCCTGCAGACAGCACAAATGATGAAACCCACCTCATTCGTTAGTGCTACTTTTGTGCCAGTTTGTGCCATTGAAAATAACATTTGTGCTGCTTTCTTTTCGAGATATAGCTCCTTGTTTTATCGATGTCGTGATGTCACTCAGCCCCCCTACAATGTTGTAGGGGAACCGGACTGGTCTCAATCGTTAGTGCTGCGTTTGTGGCGGTTTATGCCGTTGAAAGAAACTTCCCAGCTGCTTTCGTTCCTTAGATATAATGTCCTCTTTTTCAGTGGGTGACGTCACTCTGCCCCCCTACAACGTCGTAGGGGAACTGGACCGGTCTCAACCATTAGTGCTGCATTTGTTCCATTGAAAGTAGCGTTTGTGCCAATTTCGTTCCCGAGATATAGCGCCTTGTTTTTCCGGTGATCATGTGACCATGCATGGCGACTTTGACCTCCAGTAACCCTGTCTGCTGAGTTCAAGCACTCTGTTACCGGCGCGAGAGTAACAATTCTGCAACTTTGTTCCTCTGTTTGCCCTGGTGAAGGTACGGCGGTGGATTTTGCATTTAATATCATTATCTTCTATGTGTTTGTGTGAACAGGAAAATTAAATTTATCTCCAATATCATACCAGAATCAGAAGACTTGTGGGTGAAGCCTTAAAAACTGAACATTAGCAAACAATTGTATGTTCTTACAAAGAGGCTTTAATGAACATGTCTTAATACCTCGTAGCGGTGTCCTTTTTTAAAAATCTGAAGAAGTAAAAAGTTTTGCATCCTTGAAGAATGTGTATTTTAAATGTGAAAAGGAACAAGGACTTCAGGACGTTTTTTTTTAAAGGGGCACTATGTACAAAGTTTACACAGTTCATAACACATCCGAGAAACAACAGTCTACTATCTCACACATGCAGACCACGGCAATATTTGTAACCAAACAATGTGTAAAACGTTTAACAATGTCAGAATAACAATGAAAAATACAGAGTTTTAATCGGAATCATCAGTTTTGTGCCTGCTGCTTTTGGGACATGATACAAACACTGTAAACCATGCAAACATTCCCAAAGATGCTCAGAACCTCAAAGAGGCAGGTACTTCAATGTACATTATAAACCCCTCTCCCCCCCTACAGGTAACGGAACAATAGAAAGGCAACAGCTCCTTAATAAGCTATTGCATGCAGTAGGTCTGATATCTACTTTCATACACAATTAAGAATTAACAATCAAAAATCACAAATATGTAGTGCAGTACATGGAATTGAAACCCTCAAGGCTTAAAAAAAATCAAACAACTGAGTAGTTTAAATCCCCAGAAAGAAATAAGGATGAATGCAAAATACTGCATAATGCTTAGAACTGAAATCTCAAACAACAAGTCGTGGCAAGCTTTACACTACTCTTTTGTTAGGTGCGTGACTTCACTCTTTAATCTTAGTGTTAATTTGATGGCCAAATCCCTAGCTAGCCATGGCCCAGGTATTATGGAAAATGTTTAATGCAAAGTATAGAGACGTCCGATGAACACACAAAAATGTAATAAAAACTATAATTTCACCAAACCTGGCTTTAACTGTACTTCTTTTCAATTTTCACGTGATTAATAATAATATCCTCTCAGTTATATAGCGCTTCTCTGGAAACCCCAGTGAAAGCGCTCTACAGGTAATGGGGACTTCTCTCCACCGCATAAATTAAAATTTATTTACATTGTTATGGATTACAGTTTAAGTGCACATCAAAAGTTTCTATATACGTAGATATATATTTATAAATTCATATTTTTTAGACCCGCCTACTCACGTTTACTACAATACCAAGGCCCATCGCCCCTTCTTTCGTTTATAATATGTTTTTAAAGCATTGCGTTCACCACTTAATCATTTCAGGTTTTACATCAGCAATTTGTAACGTCAGAGATTTTTTGGGGTTCAATTCTCCTTGTAACACTAACAGAAACAAAACATTATAATTTAAATTCAGAAGTGTGACAAATCCTTTCAAGTTTCACTTGCATGTGTAGAAATATCCTGATAACGACAAATGAAGCTTACTAATTTTTGTGGTATTCCCTGTTGTATAAAACAAAATAAGTTTCTCAAATAACTTTACTTTCAAATAAATTTGTGGGGACGTCAACGTAGCATCATAATTACAGTACAGTATTTCTAGTTTGTAAAGTAATTTATGATTTGGAAGAGGAGGTCTTCGCCAGAGATGCAGATAATAGATCAGAAATCAGTTCAACTGCAAAGGCTGGGGTCAACTGCTCAAAAGATCACAACTGAAAGATCTGGTGGTTGTGAACTTGCTGTTTTTGTATGGTGCCGACGGCAGAGAGTGACGTCATGGCCAGAAAAAAGAAGGCGCTATATTGAAATATAAAACATCCACCCCCACCCAACCAGACGGGCTCGGAAAACAAATTGCATCCATTGTTTTCATCACATCCAGTAATTTAAGTACCGAGTTAGTTGGTACCAGTAAATGTCCTTGTAGATAGTGTAGTGCCCTCGCCCGGTGGTGAGGAGGAAGCGCACCTAGGCACTCAGGGTACCGCGAAGCAGGCTGGGAGTTGTAGGCGGGGGGAGTCTGAGGGTCAGCACGATGACCAGCAGCTGACCCTGCTTATGTAAATAAGTGTTATATTAGTTTAAGTGTCCTGTGTAGCTGTGTAAGTGTGTAGTCTTCTGTTAACGAGTTACCACCCTAAACCTGTGTACGTGTTCTGTCGGTCCCCTTATGTGTGTGTAAAACTGTGTTGGTTTTGGTTTGATAGGTGAATAAAAGCAGTTGCTTGTTTCGCTATCTTGTCTCCATTTGTCCTTTGTCCTGCGTGAATTCAAAAATGCTACAATAATCACGCGATTACCCGATAAAACAGGCCGCTGTATCTCAGAAACAAACGCAGCACTAACAATTAATAATTAAAATAATAATAATAATTGCTTACACTTATCTAGCGCCTTTCTGGACACTCCACTCAAAGCGCTTTACAGGTAATGGGGACTCCACCACTCCACCTCCACCACCACCAATGTGCAGCATCCACCTGGATGATGCGACGGCAGCCATAGAACGCTCACCACACATCAGCTATTAGTGGGGAGGAGAGCAGAGTAATGTAGCCAATTCATAGAGGGGGATTATTAGGAGGCCATGTTTGGTAAGGGCCAATGGGAATTTTGGCCAGGACGCCGGGGTTACACCCCTACTCTTAACGAGAAACGCCCTGGGATTTTTTAATGACCACAGAGAGTCAGGACCTCGGTTTTACATCTCATCCGAAGGACGGCGCCTGTTTACAGTATAGTGTCTCCGTCACTACACTGGGGCATTAGTACCCACATGAGCCGCAGGGTTAGCACCCCCTGCTGGCCCCACTAACACCTCTTCCAGCAGCAACCTTAGTTTTTCCCAGGAGGTCTCCCATCCACGTACTCCAGGCTCACACCTGCTTAGTTTCAGTGGGTTGCCAGTTGTGAGTTGCAGGGTGATATGGCTGCTGGCATTTGTGGTAGGTTTCATCGTTTGTGCTGTTTCTTGGGTAGGGGGGGGACTTCATGGAGCTGGACAACCAAACATGTCCTAGGTCATTACATTGCATACTGCAAAAGGCACGACTTCACCTGGGAAAAATTTGACGATCTAACAAAGGCAGTCATATCTGTGTCTTCAGAGGTCAAGGTGTGCCCTCATGCTGTATTCTACACCAAGGACTGACCAGAATCACAAAGATAAAAGGACTGTGAGCTGATCGTTTCATGTTTTCACACAAGACCCCTGTAAATACTAACACGTGGATAATGCCAGTTTTTCAAAGAAAATGTTCACTTCTGTTCTGTGAAAATAAAAATATTGTCCAATATTACCGTAGTCTGTATGTGTGAGATGGTAGGCTCTTATTTCTCAGATGTGTTATGAACTGTGTAAACTTTGTACATAGAGCCCCTTTAAAAAAAAAAAAAAAAACGTCCTGAAGTCCTGGTTCCTTTTCACATTGGCAAATGTGCTTTGCATAAAAAAGAGCAACAATGGTTCAGAAAGTTGCAAATTCAAGTCATTTTAAATACGTGGCTCGACAGACAGGTTGAATCTTCACATGTCCCTTGATGCCTCAGTCAGAAACATTTCAAATAAACATTCTTAAATGTTTATTTAAGAAGGAGACAATGCGAAACTTCTTACTTCTTCAGATTTTTAAAAAAGGACACTGCTACGAGGTATTAAGACTTGTTCGTTAAAGCCTCTTTTTTTTGTAAGAACATACAATTGTTTGCTAATATTCACTTTTTAAGGCTTCACCCACAACTCTTCTGATTCTGGTATGATATTGGAGACATATTTAATTTTCCTGTTCACACAAACATATAGAAGATAATGATATTAAATGCAAAATCCACCGCCGTACCTTCACCAGGGCAAACAGAGGAACAAAGTTGCAGAATTGTTAACAGAGCACTTGAAATCGGCAGAAACAGAGGTAAAAGTCACCGTGCATGGTCACGTGATCACTGGAAAAACAAGGCGCTATATCTCGGGAACAAAATCAGCACAAACGCTACTTTCAATGGCACAAACGCAGCACTAACAATGAGACCGGTAAAGTTCCCCTACGACGTTGTAGAGGGGCAGAGTGACGTCACCTACCGAAAAAGAAGATGTTATATCTAAGGAAAGAAAGCAGCTGGGAAGTTACTTTCAACAGCACAAACCGGCACAAATGCAGCACTAACGAATTAGACCAGTCCGGTTCCCCTACGACGTTGTAGGGGGGCTGAGTGACATCACACCCCAAAAAAGAAGGCGCTATATCTTGCGAAAGAAAGAAGCTGGGAAGTTACTTTCAACGGCACAAACCGGCACAAACGCAGCACTAATGAATGAGACAGGTCCAGTTCCCCTACAATGTTGTAGGGAGGCTGAGTGACGTCATGACCCCGAAAAAACAAGGCGCTATATCTCGGAAATGAAAGCAGCACAAACGCTACTTTCAATGGCACAAACCGGCACAAAAGTAGCACTAACGAATGAGGTGGGTTTCATCGTCTATGCTGTCTGCAGGGAGGCCAACTTCACGGAGCTGATACAGTATAATGTGTAATAATTTCTAAGGTGAAAAAAACTTATAACTTGCTTGTGTGGGGGTCACATAACAGGAGGGGGATCAAATGCAACCTCAGCGCAACCAGATTCCTGACTATGGCTGATGGGTGAATGGGGAAGCCATCCACCATTACTGTGAAGCGCCGGTGCTTTTCCTGCTGACATTTTCTGTGCACCAATAAAATTTCTGTCCTGTTGCTATTTAGCTTCAGGAAAGCCAAAGCTTTGATGTCAACCAGAGCTTTATGTCATGCAAACAAGACACAAGTGATGTAAAAGATAAGTAAAATTTAACATATGGTGCCAACTGTTTCCAAGTTGGTCCCCAAGTATTCAAATTGTGCTGTTGTGTTACAAGGCTGGCCACAGCAGCACAGTGTTTGTAGTAGCCTAAAAGTATGCTAATCTAGAGTCTGTGCTGTTAGTTCAGGTGAAACCTAAATTACATTTATGAGGAAATGTTAAGAGCAAGATGAGAGAGGTCTCTTCCTTTATCTCACCTCAGCTGCACAAACGGATGACATTGACAACATACATGTACAGTGCCTTGCAAAAGTATTCACCCCCTTGGACTTTTACAGCATGGAACCATGATGTATTCAACTGAGAATTTTTGCAATTCATCACACAAAGTACTCCTAATGTCAAATTAAAAAAAATAATTAAAAATAAAAAAACAGAAAATAATTGAATGCATATTCACCCCCCCTGAGTTAATACTTGGTAGGGCCATCTTTGGCAGCAATTACAGTGTTGAGTCTCTTTAGGTAAGTCTCTATCAGCGTTGCACATCTTGACACTGGAATTTTAGCCCATTGTTCTTTCTTGCTCAAGTTCTTTCAAGTTGGATGGGGACCGTTTGTGAACAGCAATTTTTAAGTCATTCCACAGATGCTCAATTGGATTGAGGTCTGCTCTTTGACTGGGACACTCCAGGACATTGACCTTTTTGGTTTTAAGCCACATATAGCGCTTTTGCTATATGTTTTGGGTCATTGTACAGTTGGAAGATGAATCATCTTCCAAGTCCCAGTGCTCTTATGGATTGCAGCACGTTTTCCTTCAGTATTTTTTTGTACTTAGCTCCAACCATTTTTCCTTCTGTCTTTATGAGTTTTCCAGTCCCTGCCACAGAGAAGCATCCCAAAGCATGATGCTGCCACCACCATGCTTCGCTGTAGGGATGGTGTTCTCAATGTGATCTGCTGTGTTAGGTTTGCGCCACACATAAAGTTCAATTTTGGTCTCACCAGACCATAGAATCTTCCTCCAGATTGTTGAGTCTCTCACATGCCTTTGGGCAAACTCCAGCCGAGATGTGATATGAGTTTTTTTAAACAAAGGTTTTCTTCCTGCCACCCTCCCTTACAAGCCAGATTTACAATTTAGAGTGCGTGCTATTGTCGTCTCATGTACAGTTTCTCCCATCTCCATCATGGAGGACTGTAACTCCTGTAAGTTGCCGTAGGCCTCTTGGTGGCCTCTCTTACTACGGCTCTTTTTGCCTGGACACTCAGTTTTGGAGGACAGACAGTTCTGGGCAGATTCACAGTTGTTCCACATTTTCTCACCTTTTTAATGATGGTCTTCACTGTGCTTTGAGGTATATTCAATGCCCTGGAAATTTTCTTATATCCTTGCCCTGACTGGAATTTTTCAAGAACCTTGTCTCAGATCTGCTTGGAATGTTTCCTTGGAAATGCACTAAGTAGGAAAGCTCCCAGACACAGGTGTATTTATTCTGAAATCATGTGAAACACCTCAACTGCACACAGGTGGACTCCAGTCAAGTAATTATGTGACTTGGAATAGAGAGTTGGTTACTTCAGAGGTAATTTAGGTGTGTCAAAGCAAGGGGGTAATTAATTTAGTAAAATGTCTGGATTTTTGTTTCACTTTGACATTAGAGAGTACTTTGTGTTGATGAGTGGCAAACATTCTCAGTTAAATACATAATGGTCCAAGGAGGGTGAATACTTTTGCAAGTCACTGTATGTTTTGTCACTCTTTACCTGACATTGACACATCGTATAACATCTTCTACTGTCTTACAACAATGTTTAACAAATGTCACACAGATCAGGTTACTCACTTGGTTTAAAAATGTGTTTGATTTCTAAAGTGTTTTAGAATATCTCAACACTGTTGCTGTGTCTCTCTGCATCGGATCCTACATGAAAGCAGAAGCAGAAGTCTTCTCTTCTCAATAGTTTTGTGTCTGGCATTTTGTCTGGCACAGTGTCAGCTCTCTTTAGAAGCCTACCTGGACACACTTCCACTGTAGCAGCGTCAGTGCTGGAGTAGCCCTTGGCATCAGTGACGTGCAGCTGGAATATGTATGTGCCTTCCACCAGGTTGGTGAGGTGGAGCACGGCCTGGTGCTCAGAGCCATAGATGACATCCTGCACACAGGGAGAGGAGATCAGCCTGGAACTCATATGGTAAACAGAAGAACAATGTATGCCTTCCAAACACTACCAGCACAATATGGCCAGAATGTCACTATTCGTTTTTCAGTAATACAGAAATATGCACTAAAGTCACTGAAGGAGTTCAAAGAAGAGTGATCACTAAGATTTCTGAGCTTAAAAGCATGATGTACTCATCCAGGATTAAGGCACTGAATTTCTTTAGTCTTCAACGTAAATGTGAAAAAGTCAATCTAATTGAATTCTCCAAGCTCAATAGTGAAAATAAGGTTTACAGAGAGAGACAAAGGAAGGCCATATGGAAGTTAAAATGGTTATCCTGTTTGTAATTTCACATGTACAGTACCTGTAATGTTTATATACCACTATCCAGTCTTTTATTAGAAAAAAATTAAAGGTATCTTATAAAAAAGTGTAAATTTATTTTTTTTGGACTTGAAAAGCATCATTTGGCTACCCACTCCAGAAGCTGGGCTTTGTCCGTCCCTGACCCATCTATATGAAACAATGCCCTGGTCATCAGTGGATGCTGAACCATCAAGAATGACGGAGTTATTTGGAAGGACGAGAACATGGCTACCTCCAGCACGGGCCACTGGAGGAGCATTTTTCTCTGAAAAACATTACACACACAAGAATAAGACTAATCAGAATAATGGAGGAGAGTAGGCAGTGATTCTGTGTTAAAATGCTTAACAGTAACCCACAGTAAGAGTAGACAAACACTATTGCTTTTACATTAGAGATATGTTTTCCTATGGCCGCACGTAATTGGTATTTTTAAGAAAGTTGGGCATTCTATTTGCCCAAAGTATGTAAGATATTTTTGTCTTTATTAAACAATAATATCATTATTAACTTCACCTTCATTTAAAGGTCACATAGCTATCACTGCATGATAAAGGTGAACACTACGGGGAAGAGGATTTTCAAAACAAAGAAGAAAACAAAAGATAATTGTTTTTAATTTTTATTAGCCTGGCCACTTGAACGTCCAAGTCCAGTTCTTGAATTTGGTAGTCAGTGGTGTGAGTGGAATCAGGACTTACTTTTAAGCTCTTAAGTGGAAGGTAGGAGCACTGCGATGCAGATCTCACCTTCTTTGAGTGTCACAGTGATGATGCCATCGCTGGTCAGGCCCTGCTGGTCTTTCACAGTCAGCCTGAACTTGTAAGTGCCAATCCTGAGACCTGTCACAATGGCCAGAGGTTTGTCTGCCTTCTCAATCTTTGCACCAGATGGGCCACTTCAAAACAAGAAAAGTGCTCATGGTAATTATTTTGGTACCCCATGACATTAAAGAGCCCCTAAAATGCATCCGTTCAATTTATTTTTACCTATTTAGCACAAGACATAGACATACAGATGCAGCCATTCAAAGTGCGTGGCACAGACATGTACCGGAGGTAATTGGCTACGGCCTCGCGCGTCACGATGTAAAATACCGCGGTACATGATTGGTTGACTGACAGGAAAGTTTTCCTAATAGAAAAAAAATAGAAAGATTTAAATGTCTTTAAATGTCTTTACTGTGCCCGTTTTAGTATTGAATATTTATATGGAATTTTACCACTGAAGGGAAATCTTAGTAGCTGAGCATAAAAAGAATAGGAGCATA